TGAATATTAGAAAGTCCTTAATTTTTTTCTTTATTTCTTCTTTGACCCAGGAGTGGTGCAATTGCACATTGTTCAGTTTCCATGAGTTTGCAGGTTTTCTGCTATTTGTGTTGTTGTTGAATTCCAATTTTAAAGCATGGTGGTCTGATAAGATACAGGGGACTATTCCTATTCTCTTGTATCTGTTGAGGTTTGTTATGTCACCTAGTATGTGGTCGATTTTAGAGAAGGTTCCATGTGGAGCAGAGAAGAAGGTATATTCTTTTGTCTTTGGATGGGATGTTCTATAGATGTCTGTTAACCCCAGTTGAGACATAACTTCTGTTAATTCTTTTGTTTCTTTGTTGAGTTTCTGATTTGTGGTCCTGTCTAGTGTTGTGAGTGGTGTATTGAAGTCTCCCGCTATAAGTGTGTGCGGTTTTATATGAGCTTTGAGTGTTAGTAGTGTTTCTTTTACGAATGTGGGTGACTTTGTATTGGGGCATAGATGTTCAGAACTGAGACTTTGTGTTGATGGATTTCTCCTGCGATGAATATGAAATGACCATCTTCATCTCTTTTGACTAATTTTGGTTTGAAGTCTAACTTGTTAGATATTAGGATATCTACGCCTGCTTGCTTCTTATTTCCATTTGATTGGAAAATCTTTTCCCAACCCTTTACCGTGAGGTAATGTCTATCTTTGAAGCTTAGATGTGTTTCTTGTATGCAGCAGAAGGATGGATTCTGTCTTCGTATCCATTCTGTTAGCCTGTGTCTTTTTATAGGTGAGTTAAGACCATTAATGTTGAGTAAGGACCATTGATTGTTGATGCTTGTTTGATTTAGGTTTGTTGTTGGCAGTGGTATTGTGAATATATTTGTTCTGCTTCACCCTTGGTTTCTGGTGTAGTTGGATTATCTGTTGCCTACATTTTTGTGGGCGTAGTTACCTTCCTTGGGTTAGAGTTTTCCTTCCAATACTTTCTGTAGGGCTGGATTTGTAGATACGTATTGGGAAAATCTGGTTTTGTCATAAATATCTTGTTCTCTCCATCTGTAGTGATTGAAAGTTTTGCTGGATATAGTAGCTTAGGCTGGCATCCGTGTTCTCTTAATACTTTGAGAACATCTATCCAGACCTTCTGGCCTTGAGGGTTTCCATGGAGAAGTCAGGTGTAATTTTGATAGGTCTGCCTTTATATGTTACCTGTCCTTTTTCCTTCGCTGCTCTTAATATTCTTTCTTTATTCTGTATGCTAGTTGATTTGATTATTATATGTCGAGGGGGTCTTTTTTCTTTGGTCCAGCCTATTTGGGGTTCGGTATGCTTCTTGTACTTTTGTGGGCATGTCCTTCTTCAGATTTGGAAAATTTTCCTCGATGATTTTGTTGAATATGTTTTCGGCACCTTTGAGCTGGGCTTCTTCACCTTCCTCTATGCCTATTATTCTTAGGTTTGGCCTTTTCATGGTGTCCCACATTTCATGGATGTTTTGTGTTAAGGATTAGTTGGATTTATGATTTTCTTTGGTCGGTGAATCTATTTTTTCTAGTTTATCTTCTGCGCCTGAGATTCTCTCTTCCATCTCTTGAATTCTGTTGGTTATGCTTGTGTCTGTAGTTGCCGATTTTTTGCCCAGCTTTTCTATTTCCCGCAATCCTTCAGTTTGTGTTGCCTTTATTTTCTCTATTTCAGTTTTCAAGTCTTGAACTGTTTCCTTCACCTTCTTAATTGTTTTTTCTTGGCTTTCTGTACTTTCCTTAAGGAATTTTTTCATTTCTTCCACTTTTTTGTTTGTTTTTTCCTCCATTTCTTTAAGGGATTTTCTCACATCTTCTTTGAGAGCCTCTATCATTTTTATGATGGTAATTTTTAAGTCGTACCCTTCTGCTTCCTCTGCTTTGTTGTTGTGTTCCATTCTAGTTGGTGTAGATTCCCTAGATTCTGGTGGTGTCATGCTTGTCTTTCTGTTGTTAGGTGTTCTCTTGTATTGCCTTCTTCCCATATCTTCTTCCAGTAGGTGTTGGTGGGGTCTCCCCCTCTCTCTATGGACTTCCCTGATGGGCTTATGTGGGTCTGAGATTCAATATCTGTAGCTCTGTGTGGTCCAAGCTCTCTAGGAGGTTTCTCCGCAGACAGGGATGCAGGGATGGGGTCAAGGATGAGGATCCAGAAGAAGATGCCAGCATGTACTCAGAGTGGTCCCCTGGCCAATAGCTCTGGCCAATAGCTGGCGGAAGAGGACAAGGGCTGAGCTGGAACTTGAGAAGGTTTTGCAGGATAGTAGGATCTCACTGGAAACTGGAGCTCTCCAGCTGAGACCTCTTTCTTTGGCAGAGGCCCGGATTTGGGGGTCAAGGATCTTGCCCACAGGAACTCAGCGTGGACCCGTAGTGATAGGCAGATCTCTGGGAGGGGCCCGGGACTCCAGCAGAGGACTGGAGGCGGGGTCAGAGACCAAGCAGGTGGAAATTATGGGTGGTCCTGCATGGATATAGTCAGGTCTCCTTTGTTCGGAGTTGCTCTGAGAGGTCTCCGATGTAGGGTGGACTGTTGGCTCCACCCTCTGTCCCAGTGCTCAACCAGAGCGGCAGGACCGTGAGTGGGGTAGGGCACAGGGTATGGGGGGTAGGCTGGCGGTGGGGATGGGTGGGGGTGTATCAGAGCTCCAAGGGTGCTCTGGATGGGGACCGGAGACAGCTATTTCAAAATTCTTAGCCATCTCCAAAATGCCTGTAATTTCATTCTACCCTGATGTTTATAGAATAGTTTCATACTGTTGCTTGAGTAATAAACCAGCTATCTTGTTAGGTTGTAAAGATAAATAAAACATAATACACATTCATAAATAGTTCACTTGTGAGTATTACTATTTCTTTTTAAAGTTAAAATAATACTGTTTCATTTTTTTTTTCTAACTTCCTATACTGTTCTTCATTTTGTTACTGTTGTTATTTGTGACCTTGTCTTGTATTATGCATTTGGCCAGGGGCTTACAATAAACTGCAGGCTGGCCTCAAACACATAATCCTTTTGCCTTTGCTCCCCAAATTTTGGGTTTATAGGTATACACAACAATGTTCATCTCATTTTGGATTCTGTTTTCTTTTTTATGACTTACTAGGCACATATTCTAACATTGTGCTGTACCCTTGACTCTTTTTTATACTTTTTATTTTGAGGCAGGGTCTTATCAAACTGTTCATGGTGGCTTTGAACTTGTGATCCTTTTGCTCAGTCTCCCCAGTAGCTAAGATTGCCATTTTTAGCACAAGGTCTGGCTTTGTTCTTGATTCTTATTTGATGGCTCATGTGTTTGTACTATAGTAAAGTTAGCCCCATTCACATCCCTCCTATACCCTCCCCCAAGGCCACAAGCATGCACACAAATGCATTATTCATAGGTGGACCAGAATGGTAGCTTGAAAAGAGGCACTTGGTTTGACCTATTTTAGGGTACACTCTCCAAGAGAGTATTTTGATGATGGGGGTAGTGTCTCTTGTGGCCAATACAGTAACTACTTTTCATACTGAACTGTTGAGTACTTGCAATATGGAAATTGTGCCTAAAGATTACATTTTGCATTTAAGTTAAATTAGATTTACATTTATCTATTTTTATTTTATACATATGGGCCTTTGCCTATACCAATGTGTTGTAGAATATTATTTTAAGGTTTGTTACTTTTGTTTATGCTCTGGAACATTTGTTTAATGATGCAAAGATGTGTTTGATTAAATAAAATTCATCTGTAGTCAGGAGGCTAGATCAAAGCTAGCTAGGGAGGAACCAGGTGGAGAAGGATTTATAATGAAGGGCAGAAACAAGCTGGAGGACTTCTTGAGAGACCTGAGAGGTTTGCCATTCAGTCTCTTGGGGAAAGCAGGATTCTACCTCATCCTTTGAATCTTGAATTCTTTAGTAGGACAGAGATTTAAATAAGTTTCCTTAGTAGCTTTGAAAGAGTCAGTGCCTAAGGGAACAGGATTCCCTCAGGCTTTGGCTCTGGCAGCCTATCCAGTGGAGTGGCATTTGCTGAATAGTATAGCCCAAGCTTAAAAAAAAGGCAGCAACAATTAGAAAAGAAAAACAGCACCAGTGTGCACCATGTGCATGCAGTGCACATGGAGGTCAGAAGAGGGCAGCAGATGCCCTGAAAATGGAGTTACAGACAGTTGTTTCAGCCATGTGTGCTGGGAATAAAACCTGGGTTCTCTGGGAGGGCAGCTAGTGCTCTTAACCACTGAGTCATCTCTACAGCCCTATATTAAATTCAGTTTAAAAGCTACATGTGACTAATGGATTTATTGGACATTGCAGATATAAATTGTACCATATTAGGATAGTTTCACATATTACTGACAGGGTTTCTCTGTGTGTCTCTGGCTATTCTGGAACTTGCTCTGTAGACCAGGCTGACCTCGAATTTAGAGAGGTCCACCTGCCTTTGCTTCCTGAGTGCTGAGATTTAAAGAGGTACACCACCACCTGGCCTAGTTTTTTTTTTTTTTTCTTAATTAAACTGAAATTAAGTAGCATGTATGCAAGCATATGGTTATATGGTTGTTGATATTTATTTTCTGTGCTGGTTGGTTTCTGTCAACTTGACATAAACCTAGATATATCTTGGAACAGGGGATCTGTAACTGAGTAAACACCTCCATAAGATTTGGCCTAACTAAGCGAGTCTGTAGGGCATGTTCTTGATTAGTGATTGATGTACGAGGGCCCAGCTCACCATGGCCACCATGAGCGGATAGTCCTGAGTGGTATTAGAAAGCAGGCTGGGGAAAACCATGGAGAGCAAGCAAGTAAGCAGCACTCCTCCCTGGCCTCTCTTCAGTTCCTGCCTTCAGGTTCCTGCCCTGTGATCTCACTGCTGGAGTGTGACCTGAGGGCTGTAAGCTGGAGTAAACTTTTTCCTCCCTAACTTGCTTTTGGTCATGTTTTCTTTTTTTTTTTTTTTTTAATCACAGCATAGAAATTCTAACAGATATTTCCTCCTCTTGTTTTTAGACAGCAGCTAGTATTCCTACTTGGTGTGAGCAGCTTGCAGCTCTTTGTTCAGAGTAATTGGACTGGGCCTCTTGTGGCCTTGCACCCTCGGGATTTCTTGCCTCCTGTTCTGCTGGAGCAGTTTAGTGAGGTATGCTTCTTGGAAATGTTATATATATATAGTTTCTTCTTCTTCTTTTTCTTTTATTCTAAATGCGATTCTTTTCAAACAAGTGTTTGTGAATTGGAGTTAACCGTAGGTGGGGAAGAAATAGATTTGTGGTTTTCACAAACTACTAAGAATGCCTGTTCATTGATCTTCTGACCTCCACACATATGCTGTGACATTTACATTGGGCTCACACATGCACATATCATAACACGTGTACATTACATGCATGCACATTTGTATACACAAAAACAATTATGTCTCCTTTGCAGTCAGCACCTAGTTGAGAGAGTAGACATGATCATTGCCATAGACCAGAGAGCTTCTGATGGCTTTCCTTAGATTTTGATTCCTGTCTTGATTCCGTGGTTAAAAGGGTAGGGGGCGCTGGTGAGGTCCCTTTAGCTCTTATGGGTTTGCAGCCTTCTCTGTTTGCCTGTTGACTTATACAAACAGTTGTATCCTTTTTTCTGTTTGATTCACTGGGAACCAAACCCATGGTTCAGCATGTTAGGCAAATACTACCACTGAGCTAAACTCCCATCCGAATACTTGTTGTCTTTTCTTGTGCTCTGATCTCAATAAGCCTGGGCATGCTGCATTGGAAGACTCTTTGGAAGACTCCGTGTGTATGTGAGAGCATCTTCCGACTTCCACTTTCCTGAAGCACTGGCAGCAACAGGTCCTTGTTGATCATTCTGTGCTTTTATTCATAGTAGCTGTGTGCTGTGTGTGGCTCCTTAGGAATCATACTGTTTAGTGTTGTCTGGTTATGAGTAAATGAAACAGTGTATGGTTTATTTTTTTGACTTCTGTTATTCAGTGATATGTTTGAGCTTATACTTATTATTTGAGATTGAGGCAGGCTCTCACTACGTAGACATGGCTAGTCTTAAACTCACTGAGTAGACCAGGCTGACCTTGAACTCATAACGATTGTCCTGTCTGCTTCCCAAGTACTGGGATTAAAGGTGTTGTCACTTACACCTGTGTTGCATGAAGACTAAAAACTCAGAGACAAATATTGGGGTTCAAGCTGAAGATCAGAAAAGCAAACCTGCCAGCCACTAGAGAGTTCTCACCTCTGAAGACTCAGACCAAAGAGGTAATCCACTGTACCTCAGTCCGCACAGAGCTCCTGCCTCATAGTCTCTCTAGTGCTGGGATGAAAGGCATGAGCTCTGCTTTTCTTTTAGACAGATTCACTCTCATGTGGCCTTGAACTCACAGAGATCCATGTGCCTCTCCCAAGTTCTGGGATTAAAGGTGTGACCGTCACTGGCTGTCCTCTATGGCTAACTAGTGGCTTAGCTCTTAACTAGGTATTTGACTAACTAGTAGTGACTCAGCTCTGCACTCTGATCTTCAGGCAAGCTTTGTTAGATTACAAACAAAACATTACTACACACCTGGCCTTGTTATTATTTTTTTTTTTTAAAGAACTTTGTGTATGTGTTTGTGTATGTGAATGAGGCTGCATGTGTGCAAATGGAGATCAGAAGACAGCCTTAGGTGTTGGTTCTCGCCTCTCAACTTGTGTGAGAAGTGATCTTGTGTGGTTTGTGCTGTGTGTCCCAGGCTAGCTGGCCTTTGAAATGTCCAGAGTTCTTCTGTCTCCATTTCCCTTCTCTCTGTAGGAATGCTGGAATTACAGATGCTTGCTACTGCACCGAGCTTTCCATGGATTCTGGAACCCAAACTTTCCATGGATTCTGGCTTGTTCTGCAAGTAAAGTGCTTTACCTGCTAAGTGTTCTCCCCTAGCTGGGTTAACTTTGCCCTGGCAGCCAGTGCTTCAGTATTTTTTTTTTCCAGTTATTTGCCTGTGTTGATTTATCCTTAAGTATTTGCAAGTATGCTTTGCTCATATAGTTACCAAAGCAGAGTTAATTTCCCTGCTTTTATCTATGATCTGGGCACTTGTAGAGCTGTTTTCCAGCCACTCATTGGCGCTAACCAGCCCTCAAGGAAAAGCACCGAAAGCCCATGTCAGACCAGCAGGTTGCCAGTAACACTGGAAGGTCTCCCTCACACAGGAAGGCTACCTGCATACGGGAAGGCTGCACCTAACACTAGAAAGCTGTCCCTTACACAAGAAACCCACCCCTTACAGTGGAAGGGCGCCCTCATAGAATCTGGCTTTATACATTTGGCTCAGACTTCCAGATGTTGCATTTCCCACGATGTGCTGATGAATGTATATTTTCTATATCTTATGCTCTCTTGCCTGCAGAATTGTTGTTGGCTTTTCTTTTACACTTTGTGTTGTCTATTTTTATTAAAAAATATATATAAGTGATCCTCTTAAAAATGGGCCATTCCCTCCTGCTCTGAAAGCACAGTTAGAACCTTGCAAATCTGTGTTGCGTACAGGGCTGAGAGCTGTGGATAGCATTTTCCACATGGTGATCTAGGGTAAGGAGAGGAAGAGAACCTGCCTTTAACATGGTCGTTCGTTCGTTCATTCATTCATTCATTCATTCATTCATTCATTCATTCATCGTATGTCACTTGTTAGTCCCATTGAAGAGGTAGGCTTGGAACCAGCCCCAGTGGGAATTGCTATCAGGACAATGAGATCATGGCAGTCTTGTCTAATTTTTGTTGCCCTGTTAAACTGCTTGTTTGTTATTTGTATCTAGAGGTTTTAGGTAGAAGACAGAGAGAGAACAGAACATATTTCTCATCTCAGAATGGGATGTTTCTTCCTCTTAGAGGCATGTCTCACATCTTCCTGCACTTCACCAGAGTGACTTGGACTTTAAGAAGTATGCACTTGTAAGCCATGAGCTCCAGTCTGATGTGAGCAGCACAGACTGAGTTCCTGTCTTATCTGAGGAGAGTAGGTTAGCCAGCTGAGCCCAGTCTGGTCTGAGAAGCACAGGTTAGGCAGTTACTTTTCTAGTTGTTCTTTCCCTCGTTTTTTGGCATAGTTTTTTTGCTGTGTTTCTCAGGCTGGTGTTGGTTCAGAAGTCCTGGGCTCAAGCCTCCTTTCTGCATCAACCTCTTAGAAAGCAGGGACTGTTTTCCTGCACTATCATGCCTGTCTTGACTTTTATGGGCTTTCTTCTCACTTTCTTTAAACATTTTGGTTGGATTCCTGTTCCTCTGAATTTAGAGCATCCATGTGGCCGTCTGGCAGGGCAGGATGGGTTTGTAGGTCTTCAGTGACATTTGCAAGGTCATGGTCACTTCTGGTGTCTATTGCTATGTAATTAATGTTCTTATTCCTAAGCTGAATTATCTGTAACAGTGAATATCTTGTTAAATTGTGTAACTTCCATATCTTTTTCAGTTCAAAGGACTGGATGCTGTTATTCTGGGCCTGCTCATTCTAGATGGTGAATCCATCTACAGCCTGACTTCAAAGCCCATATTGCTGTTAATAGCACACATTATTCTGGTGAACATCAGACATAAATTAACAGCTCTCCAGGTAAGGCCAGGGAAGGCTCTGTGAGCATTCCACACAGGCCCCTCTTGTGTCCTTAGACATTTAGACATCAGATTGATGCTGGCTGTGTCTCAGTAGGTTTTGTTTTCTGTATCTTCTTGGAGAAACTTAATTTAAAAGACTCATGAAATAAGGAAAAATATTTTCTTGTGAGGTTAATCTTGTATAAAATGAGACTGTATTGAACCTTTTTAGTAGGGGAGAGAGAGAGGAGAAGAATGTGTATGTGTGTATTTATTCTTTGATTAGTAAGGTACCATTCAAATTTATAAATTTTAGCTGATAGTCAGTAGCAATGAGAATGGAAGGGATCTGAATTATTGGTTTCTTTATTTGTGTTGAGTGTAGAAGATCTATTTGTTGTTTGGTTTCTTTAGGTTGTATATATCAGTGGGGAGAAACAATTGTGCAGGAAGTTGATAGGCACTAGGAATGATTCATTGAAGTGCAAAGGTCAGAGGTTTAGGTGGAGGTTGTCAGCTGTGTAGTGTGTAGTCTGCATGGTGACTGCTTAGCTTACTATGTGGTAGTTTGAGAGCAGCCACAGTCTCAACAGATGGGTTGAGTTGTGTTCCAATAAAGGTTTATTTGTGGCTGGGCTTGGTGGCGTACACCTTTAAATTCTTAGCACTCAGGAGGCAGAGGCAGGCAGATCTCTGAGTATGAGGCCAGCCTGGTCTACAGAGTGAGTTACAGGACCACCAGGGGCTACACAGAGAAACCTTGTCTTGAAAAATTAAAACCCCAAACCAAACAAATCACTTATTTTTATGTGTATGTGTATTTTGTCTGCGTTCAGGCTGTATCACGTGAAGCTGCAGCACTCTAGATGCTTAGTGTATTTATTATGTGCAGCTGAACAAGGAGGTGGGGTTATTACACACAGATGAACAAGGAGACAGGGTTATTGCACACAGATGAACAAGGAGGCTGGGTTATTGCACAGAGCTGAACAAGGAGGTGGAGTTATTGCATAGAGCTGATCAAGGAGACTGGTTCAGGTAATACCGTAGCAGCCGTCTCTGTAGGGGAAGCAGTCTTCAGGCTGTAAATGTGGGTATGAGTGGGGGTGTGTGAGTTTTGGAGAAAGTTGCTGTGGATGTTTCCAACACATAGTATCAACCTCCTTCTTACAGAGTAGGGGAAGCCTTTGCCATTTCCTTGAGCCTTACCTGGGGAAGTCATTGCCATTTTCCATAGGTCTAAGGCATTGGGGTCCCTGACATGATTATGTCAAACAGTACACATTCACTCGGATTTACATGTTCCCTATGTGAGAGTGTACCACATGCATGCTTGGTCAAATCTGCAGAGGCCAGAAGAGGGTGTCGGATCTCCCTGGAACTGGAATCACAGATGGCCTGTAGCCACCATATGGGTGTTGAGGATCAAACCCATGTCCCCTGGAAGAGCAGCTAGTTCTCTTAATCTTGGAGCCATGTCTCCAGCTGTTCCCCTACCTTTTGGTGGCATGATGAATATTTACAATACCCCCTCTTTTTAGAGATTTTGTTTTTGATTGATTGATTGATTGATTGTGTGTGTGTGTGTGTGTGTGTCTGTCTGTCTGTCTGTCTGTCTGGATGCCTGTCTGGATGGGTCACTCAGGTGGGTGCACATGCCAGAGGAGGCCAGAGGTCTTGAGTCCATTTGCCCTCGGGTAACATGTGGGTGTGAGCCACCTGATATGGGTACTAGGAACCAAGCTTGAATGCTCCGAGAGAGGGGTGAACATTCTTAAGTGATGTGCCATCCCTTCAGCCCCTGTGAAATTGCTCAATAATGTGGTTAAGACTGCATCTCTCCTAAAAGAGGCACACATACTTAGTAAGTAGATTTCAGTCTTCAAAGTTAGTTCAGCAGTGAAGAGCAATCCCAGGGCCTCCCACCAGTTAGGCAAGCTCCACCTACTGGTTAGACTCCATTTTGCCTCCACCCTTGGGGAAGTCAACGACTGACCAGGGAACACCTGGGGGGAGGGGGAATGGAGGACAAGGGATACAAAGAACAGCAGCAAGACAGTATTATGATCAAGCTGACAAATTTTATTTTCTCGGGGGAGGCTTATACAGGACCATGGGCAGCATGTGAGCAGGGTTTGCATGTAGGCAGAGTGAGAAGGTCGGTAGAAGGAATGCCCTAAGTCGTTTAGCTAACCTGTAATTGGCTGTAAATTGCAGCAGGAGAGATAGCCCTGAGTTATTCTTTAACTGGCTGTAAAACTGCAAGCCTGTCCCTTAGAATGTTCTGCTGAACATTCTGCTTTTTTCTTAAGAGGCAGTAATTTTCTATGTCAGAGACCTGAGGTTGTGAGGATGGTGATGGTCCCCAACACCATTTTAAATTGATTTTTGAGTGAATTAGCTTCCTAAAGAAAAGTATCCTGGTGTTTGCTGTGATATTTGTGGATCCTTATGAAAGACACGCACTCCCCTCTCCCCAGCCTGCCTGCTCAGTCTGTAGACTGGGATTAACATGTACAGGCTGAGTAAATCCCAGCTGTAAGATCAGGCCACAGTTCTCTGTCTCTTCTCAGCTGTGTGAACTTAGGCCAGGTGGTCTCTAACTGACAATTGCCTGGCGTGGTGAGACTCTAGGATCAGTGCCCAGTACACAGGGGTAGTGGGTGGGTGGGGTGCGGGGTAGGGGGGTTGGGGAGGCTAAAGGCAGACCCTCAAACAGAATGAGTTCCTTTTTGACTGTTTTACTGACCCTGCCATGGAGAAGGTTCTTGACTAGTGCGACTTCTCAGTCAGTCTGTACTGACTGTGGTAAGTGCCTCAACAGGAGGCAAGGCTGTCAGTTTCCATTTTTATCAACACCTCAGTGTTTCTGCTTTGTACTTCTTAGCAGATAAAACTGGCCTTGGTGTTTCCCAGCAGAGCTGAAGGGAGAAGTCCTGATTGGTTCTGGACTCCTCCTATTCCAGCTCACAACAGAGTTAAAATCACAGAACCCATCTTGAGTTCAGCGCCTTAGGTCATATGTTTTCTTAACAGCTCACTCCTTTTAACTGGAGGTGACTGAATTCCGTCCTCTGGAAAGGGAAAGAATAAGCTGCCAGGCCTGACTCATTGTCCTGGCAGCAGATAAGGGGAGGTGGTGAAATATAGACTGACTCTACTAGCCTCAGTGACCAGAAAAAGGAAAGTGAGGGAACGCCTCCGGGAATTCAGCTAAAATAAAATGATTTGAAACTTCCTTCCTCTTAGATAATTCTGCTTTTCTTCCATGGACTGAGAAACAGCATTACTAATTAAAAAAGATTTCATTGTAAAGTCAGAAATTTAGTTATGCTAGTTGTGCGTAGCTGATTGGAATGGGACCCTTCCCCCTTTCTGTGATACTAAGGATTGAGCCTTAGGGCCTGGAACTCACTAGGCAAGTGGTCTCTCTACCAATGAACTGTCCCTCCAGTCCTCTCTCTAAGTTGCTCAGACTGGCCTTGCATTCACTAAGATGCCCAGGCAGGCCTTGAATTTTGACCCTTTTGTTTCAGTCTCCCAAGAGTTCAGACTTGCTGCACTAGGTCTGTGAGAAAGGTACTCCTTAATCAAATGAGATATTAAATTCAAGTAAAAAATGCTTTTGGTAACTAAGCATGATCTAATAGTAGCTATTACTACTGAGAAAGAAAAATTTGTTTCTTACACAGTCATGTAATGTAATTCAGGCTCACATTTATTTATTTTTTTGAGATGAGATCACAGGTATCGAAGGCTGACTTGAGATTGTAATTCTCGGCTTTCCTTTCCCTAGTGCTGAGCTAGTGGGTATGAGCCATCTGCTGACTAACTTAAATTTAGGTGACTCAGCATATACTCAGATTTGTATTTTATCAACCCCTTTAAAATATGTATTATGACTTGCACAGGTATCTATATTTTTAATCTTTGTTATGGCCTTTTCTAGAGGAAGACGGGATTGAGCAGTAAAAGAAAGACTGTGTGTGTGTGTGTGTGTGTACGTATGTATGTATGTGTATGTGCTTGTGCATGAGTGCCTTGTGACTTATGGAGTCCAGAGGAGAAGGGCACATGTCTTCTTGTGAGGGGGGGGGGGTGGCTCACTGACTCTGAAGCTGTTTCTGCTAGGCTCACTGGTGGGTTCCTGAGACCCTCCCATCTCACATCGTCAGCTCTGAGTCACAACACCTGTGGTGTTTTATGTGGGCGATAGTGATTTGAACTCTCAGGTCCTTATGTCTGTGCAGCAACTAAGCCTTCTCCCTAGCACTTGTTCTCTTTCTTGATAAGAAGAAGCTTGAGTGAATTAAAGAAAAAGCTGCTGTGCGCTTAGTGTGTACCTCAGTTAAGTTGTACTTGGGTTGTGAAGGGAGTAGAGTTGCCATGGCAGGGCACGGGGCTTTAGTCATTCTGATGGTAAATCTGAAGCAACTTCAGAAAGTGTTAATGGAGACATGACAACAGGCTGTGAGCCTGTTGAGAACATAGCATGGATGATTAAGCTTCTCTAGGTATGAGTTTTGTGAGTGTGAAGATATTCCAGGAATTGGTCTCCTTAGTTGTGAAGTGTTTTCCCTAAGTGTCTCAAATTCAGCTTCGATGGTGTTTCTTTCTAGAGCTTGCCGTGGTGGACTTTGAGATATGTGAATATTCACCAACAGTTGCTCGAGGAGCGCTCGCCTCAGCTTTTTGCTCTTGCTGAAAACTGTATTGCTCAAGGTATGTAGCAGACTTAGAAATATTTATTATTTGTTATTTATAGTGTACACATGGGCAACTTTGTCGCACATACTCCTTTTTGTTGTTGTTGTTTTGAGACAGGGTCTGTCTGTGTAGCTTGGACTGTCCTGGAATTTGTTCCATAGACCAGGTTGGCCTCAAACTCACAGAGATCCACCCACCTCTGTGCTGGGATTAAAGGTGTGTGCCACCACTGTCTGGCGTGGAATACATACACTTACTCCACTTTTGTGGAAGCTGGGACTCAAGCACAGGCTGCCAGGCTCCCACAGTGAGCACCGACTTAAAAGGAGTCCTAGACTGAAATAGGTGGTGCCTTTGGGTAATGTAGAGTGACAGCAGCAGACACCTGCACATTTAGCAGATTTGGAGGGAGATATAGTGGTGTTGACTTCTGGGAATAGCCATCTTCCATCTCTGTAAAGATTTCTGAATTACTTGATTCATAGAAATTAGGGAAAATGGGTCCTACATTAATGTGTGACATTTGAACCTTTTCAGTAGTGCTGCTTAGGTGTGACATTCTCTTCAGAATGGAGATTGAGATGGAGCTTGGAAAAATGAGGACACACTACCTGTTTATCAGGCAGTGTGTTGTCTTCCATTTTTAACAAGTGAAAACTATGTAAACTTGGTCTTGCCCGCTTTATGCCATCATATGATTTGAAATGAAGTGAGGTTATTCTGTAAAAGGACAGTGCATGGTCACAACCTCGTAGTTCATGAAGCTGGGCACAGTTTTGAAAGCCCAGGGATGCACTGAATGCCAGTGACAGTTTTCCTGGGGGACAAGTATACCAAATTCTGTGAGAACTCAGTCAACTATTTAGTCTTATAAAATGGCAGTTACATTGTACCCCAAAGGCTATTGTATAATTCTTACAGTTTGCTATGCTTTTGTGGAAAACTGGTTGTTGGAAAGAAAGGCCAGGCCAGGTGTTGTTACTAGGAGTTGGTTTTTGTTTTTAAAGAAAATCTAGTTTCCGGGGATTTTTATAAAAAGTTACATTTATTCCCCTCCTGTATTGTCCCTTATTATATCCACCTGTATTTACTGCCAAATCTTTACCGTATCTGTGACTAATCTTTGTAAGAAATACACTTCTTTATTGGTGGAAGGGGAGAACCATGATCTTTTTAAAGGTTAAAACCATATGGTCTGTTTTAAAGGGAATTATTTTTTTTTCTAGAAGTTAAAAGTCAGTTCAGAAGCAAGAATGGTTAATGACATAATTGGAAATCTGACTCTAGGTGACTCATGCCTGGTGACCTGTGGTGTTTCTGCAGTGGACTCAGGCACATCGTTTGCTTTGCCCTGCAACCAAGAATTTATGCTGCTCTTGACTCAGGCTTTTTCTTTTAGGCCATCAACCAGCTCCCAAATCATGGCACTGACACTTACTAGTTTCGAATGCTCAGCCTAGCTTATGCTCTTTTCTGGCTAATTCTTTTAACTTAAATCAACCTGTTTCTCTTTATTTACCTTTGCCTCAGGACTTAACTTTCTTCCTTCTCTATGTCTTACTGTTACTGCCTCTCTATGGCTGGCTGACTGGCTTCTTCCTGGCTTCTTGCCCTGGGTGTGCCCCTCGTTCTCTTTTCCCCTTCTCTCGTTCTTTTCTCTCTCAAGCCTAGATTTCTCCTTCTATTTATTCTCTCTGCCTGCCCCTTGCCTATCCCTTTCCTGTCTAGTTACTGGCTCTTCAGCTTTTTATTAGACCAATCAGGTGCCTTAGTCAGACAAAGTGAAACAAATGGGACACATTTTTTTCATAAATAAGTGCCACATAAACAAAAATAACACACCTTTACATAGTTAAATATTCTACAGTATAAACAAATGTAACACATATTTGCCTAGTTAAAATCATATTCCACAACATTCCCTTCAATTGACATTTTTCACTTTATCTCATCACTAATTGACATAATTAGACATTTTAGCTATGTCTAAATTAGTCTGTAATATTTCACAAGTTATTCTATTTAAAAAATGTTTTATTATGCGATCTGACCCAAATGTTGACGAGTTAGTTACAACTAGCTGAGATAGCATTCAGTGTCCTGAGAAGGATTTATATTTGAGATATTGCCCTTGAAAGATCAGATATTGGCAGGAGTTTTTTCAGCTTGTGAGACATATGCACGGGTTTTGTGAGCAGCCACGATTGTCTTATTCTTGTCCAGGAAGCGCAGCACTCAGGAGGCAGAGGCAGAGGCAGAGGCAGGTAGATGTCAGTAAGTTCCATACTGCCTGATCTACAAAGCTACACAGAGAAACCCTGTCTTGAAAACCAAACAAAAAAAAAAAAAAAAAAAAAAAAAAAAAAGAAAGAAAGAAAGAAAGAAAAAGGGGGGGGGGCAGGTACCTGGATCAGTGCTGTGAATAGCATCACCTAGGACTGCGTGTGGGTGCAGAAGGCAATGTATATAATAGAGTCTTCTAGGACTGTGTGTGGTGCAGAAGTCAATGTGTATAATAGCATCTCCTGGGGCTGTGTGACAGTGCAGAAGGCAATGCATATAAAGTCTTAACTGCATGTTTGGAGATGTAAGTGCTCAGAGAATGCTAGTTGTTAACTGCTGTTGTATTTGTGTTCTTTATGTAGCTAACATTCTCCAAAACTTTAACTTAAACCATGTGATGTATACTTTAATATTTTGGGACTTCATTTCACTTATCTTAATTTTTAATATTTCATCTTTTGTCTTATAGTGATGAAAGTAGAGAATTTATTTGATGGTGATTCAGGTCAACTTTTAGCTATTCAATTCCATCTGGAATGTGCACATCTATTTTTATATTATTATGAATATAAAGAAGCAAAAAACCAATTCAGTACTGCTAAAAACATCAGCAAGTTACAGGTTGATCTGACAGGTAAGACTTTAATTTTCATGGGTAATTGATTTAATTTTGCAGGAAAGCTAGTATATATGTCGGCAGTTTGTATTGTATTTTGGCATTTTACTTTTTTGTCCTTTTGATTGTGAAGCACAGCCTTTATTGACTGAGCTATCTCTCCATTCCTTTTGCTTATTTATTTATTTTTGTTATTATTTTTTAGTAGAACTAGACTGATCACAGGATTAAAAAAAAAAGAAAGCAAACTTGTTAGTCTACATTTATAATCTTCCATTTTCCAGACTTTGTTTATGTAGCCTAGGCAGGCCTTGGACTTCCTTCCTGATACTCTTGTCTTAGTCTCCTTAATGTTGAAATTTGGGATACCTTACTATATTTGGTCTAGTATTTATTTTTTTGGATCCCACCTATTTTTTATTTCACAATATATTTAAACAATTTTATTTAAAGTTTATCTTTTTCAACAAATTTGGAGTTATATTTTGTTTTTTTCATAGAGTCCTTTCCTCATCCTAAGATAGTTAAGTATTTGGTAATAATAGCAGCCAGGCAGTACATAAATGGACCTTGGACCATTTGATTCTGGTATAAACCTCCAGGGACCTTTCCTGACTCCCCAGTTTAGTCCTGCCCCTGTGCCTTGCCCATTCTTATGAATGTCTCCTGTTGTTCCCATCCTGCTTTGTTGCATCCCATATTGTATTTCTTAGGGGCATTTCTTGGGTGTATTTTTAGTGATTGAGAATACTATCTAAGCCTTGCATGGTGACACACACCTTTACTCCCGGCACCAGGAAGGAAAGGCAGGTGGATCACTGAGTTGGAGGCCAGCCAAGTCTACAGAATGAGTTCCAGGACAGCCAGGGCTACACAGAGAAACCCTGTCTTGAAAAAACCAAAATAAAATAAATAAATAAAAATATTAAAAATAAGAGAGCACGTGAGAATACTATCTGAAATATAGAAACATTCAATATTGTAGTGAACAAGTAGAGTTCTGAGTGTATGTTGAGTGAATGTATTATTTGACAAGGGCACAGCCATGTCATGGACCAATGCCTCTGCCCCCTCGGGGTGGCGAAATCTTCCCTGGGTGAGGGCTCAGAGCAACAACAAAGCCTTCCTGTGGTCCTAGTGTGATAATTGACAACGTGTACAGAAAATGTCCACTGTAGATGTTTATAGCTTGCAGACTGCTCCCCTACAGAGCCTGTGCCTACCTAGAGTTTGTCTATATACAATTACCGCACCTCCCTGTTTATCAGTATATGATAATCCCGCCTCCCAAGTGTATATAATAAATATGCTGAGTATCCAGAGGCTGTGGCTTCTGTATCTCAGAGCCCAGACCATCTGATCATAGCTTTGTGTCCATGTGTCTGTCATTTTCTTTATCCCTTCAGGTCAGTCTCTGAAGCTGTACGGGGTATACACTGTGTATGTTGAAAGAGCGAATGAGTTACAGAAGATCTCCTAAATCCGCTGTTGTCTCTTCTGAGTGCCATGTGTTGTTTCCAGCCCTAACCTATACAATGTAGTTGGCATTCAGTATGCATGAACTAATGAGGACAGATGTTAACCGCTTGGGGGCTCAGGCTGAGCATCCCAGGCTGTGACACCTGCCTGGCATTCAGACTGACACTATTGTCAGCCCCAGTCTTCTGTGTTTCTTATTGAGTCAATGTTAATTGATAAAATCCTCTAGCCATACTGTGAATCAAATGTCTGTATGTGATCTTAACCTTCTTTTATTACAGTGTTTGTGTGAGAAAAGTTATTTAATATCTAGTTTCTAGTTTTTGGAATAATGAAAGGGATAACTTGTAATCTTGTCTGCATTTGAAAATATACTTACATCTAATAAACTTGTGAGGTTCATTTCAGAGATTTTTTTTTTTTCAAATATTTTTGTTCTAGGAGACTTTGGGGGGAATTATTTAAATATTAATGACACTGTGCTTTGTATATTCAGCTTTTAGTGGTAGTATATTCAATAGCTATTTCAGTTTTTAATTTTTTTCCCCGAAGTTGAGATGAAGAACTGTACTCCCAAATCAAACGAGACCCAGATTGTTTTTTCCCACTCAGCTGTAGACTTAACTATAAAAAGGTAAGCTTTTAAGACATTTCAGTGGCCATCGTGAGCATGCTGTGTGTCCAGGGTCGACAGTGACTCAGACCCGAGCCATCTCAGTATAGGAAGCAGATTTCTGTAATCCCACATTTTCCAGAGAGTGGATGTTGAAACTTTGCTTCCCTTCATAATGGTCTGAAAATAGCTCTTCTGCAGCATATTATTTCTGAGACATAAAAGAAAAAATGTTGGTCTTATATGAAGCCAGATGGAGCACTCGCCTGGATCTTACAAGCTGAGGCCCCGCTAAGTGCTGGATGTAATGCACTTAGCGGGATCCTATAATCCCGAGGGAGTGATGACATGTGTTCAACCTCCATCTTTCCATGTGTATTATTCATATACATATATATGTATGTAGTATGTATGTGTGTATATGATTTCTAACCTTAGTACTTCTAAGTTATTTGTTCAGAAGAGACTAAAAAATAAGCAGAGATAGAGATTGAGAATCTAGTGTCAGGAATCCTGGGTTTGAGCCTTGGCACCATAATTCCTTGGCTTCAGGAAGTCATTTTTAATATCGCTGGGGCCCCAAGCTTCTCATACGTGAATGGAGAAAACCTTTAGTACTCTGAAAATAGTAGTCATCATGATTGTACTATAAGTCTGACTGGTAGGATCTTATTTTAATTTTCAGGAGCTTTGGGGAAAAGGACACGGTTCCAGGAAAACAACGTGGCACAGCTGATTCTAGATGTCAGAAGAGAAGAGGACATCCCTTCCAGGCGTGAGTTCAGCCCAGCACCCACCCCCCAGGAGTATTTAACCAAGGTAGGTTGGCCTGAGTTATGTAAGTAAATAGCATAGTGTCAGCAAGTATCACGGGGACTGAGTGGATGAGAAGACATTGCATGGCAACCCTTGCTAAGTTCTTTGCCCCCCATTTTTAGGTAAAAATAATCAGTATTTTTCGTATAAGTTTCTATCCTGGCGTAGAGTTTGAAAAGATACATTTCGTTATGGGGGATGGGACAACTGCTACACTGTACCCCGCCACCACACTGCACCCACAGTCACACTGCCACCACACTGCACCTGTCTCTGTAGGTGAACAGTCTGGGTCTGTGAATATCCAGGAGCAGGAAAGGGCAGTTGCTAGTCTGCACATGCTCATTAGTCATCTGTTAACATACTTGGTCTCCAGAGGAAAGCTTTGCCTTTCCTTCAGGGCCTGGCCCATATTGCCAATTTCCTCTGGGTCCGAGGCCTTGGAGCCCTTGTCAGCAATACTCAGGAATTCACTCACTCAGTGCTTCCCCTGTCCCTATACTGGGATTGTAGGTATGAGCCACCATACCTTGCTCTGTATTAGTCCCTTTACTTTTGTCTTCTGTGGATATCTTTTAACATTCAAAGACTTGACATTTTTCTGACTTCTTCTAAATACATAAACTAACAACCAGAATTCCTCTTTTGTCATTGTATAATCTGCTTTCTACTCTGTCATTATTGAGTTGGTTGGTGCTTCAGAATGATTTTTGACATGTGGAACGAATTCTTTTCTTGTGGCTTGAACTTTAGCTTCTTGGACGGTTGACCTCATAGGCCTGTGCAACTGCTTCCATGGAGACCATAAACGTTTTCATTTTCCAGAGATTCTCATACCTACATTTTTATATGTTAATTAAATTTTTAAAAAGATTTATTTTTATTTTATGTGTGTGCTGTTTTGCCCAAACATATATCTGTGTACCACATGTGTGTAGTGATCACAGAAACCAAAAGAGGGAATTGGATCCCCTGGAACTGGAGTTATAGACTGTTGTGAGCTGCCATGCGGGTGTTGGGAATCGAACTTTGTTCTTCTGGAAGGGCAGCCTGTGCTTTTCACTGTTGAGCCATCTCCCCAGCCCCTCATCTGCAGTTGTTGATCGTCCTTTTATTGATTTCAATGTCTTTAGACCTTATGTTTCGGTATGCTTTATTTTAAAGCCAATAAGTAAATTTATCAAATTTCTATTCTGTGCTGAGAGTAATGTCAAGGGAAGAGCTGTCATTCAGTTCATTTTGAGGAGGACATCTGATAAGAGTGCTGGGCGGGTTCCAAGTTCACTGTTTGCTTTTGTGGTAACCTTAGCAAGGGGCAGCTGTTGGTTCTAAACAAGTGAATAAAGATGGGAGAGTTGTAGGAGTGTGTGCAGGACCTGGATTTATTTTCTCAGGGATGTGGAGCTGTGATTGAGCCAGTATTTGTGCTGTTCTGGTTAGCAATAGTCAGGGAATGTATAATAAGTGCATGCATCCTTGATTTCCACCTCTTTTCTCAGTCTTGTTCAAGCCCCCTCATTAGGCTTTAGGTTGCCCATTGCAGTTTGATCTTTAGGCCATAGAACAGTATCATTGGGAAGAGATTTAATTCTGAAGTCCAAGCACACAAAAGTTAAATCTTTGGTGTATGTGTGTATGGTATATGTGTGTTTATTTGAGTCATTTTAAAGTTGAGTACATTCCATTATTCCGGACACCAGCTGTTCCTTAGTGTCTGAGGTTATCATTATATTCCTAGCTGTTGTTAAAATTGTGTGTGCATGTGTATGTGCGCCTCTGCCTTCCTGCCTGCCTGCCATGGGAGTGTGGGTGCCTGTGGAGGTCAGAAGTGTCAGATCCCCTGAAGCTGGATTAACAACAGAAGGTTACAAAATCTCCTGATATGGCTATTGGTCTCTTAGAAGTCCCTTTTCCCCTCTTAAGCCATTTCTCCAGCTCTTGCTTTTCTTTTTTCTGGTAATTTTGCTTTTGAGACAGGGTGTCAGCTTGTGGCCTGGGATCACTATATAGACGAGGCTGACCTTTGATTCAGAGATAGCTGTCTTGTTCTGTCTCACTAGTCTAGTGCTAGTGTAGGGCTTAAACCACCATGCTCAGCACCTAGTCTAGTCTACTGCTGGATTAGGGCATGTACCACAATGCCAGGCACAAGCCCCTTCTCAGATACATGATTCTTAGTATATCCTTTGTATCTGCAGCTTGGCCTTCATCTTCTCATCAATGTTTTCCAAGAGCAGATTGTTTTTTTAAATAAATTTATTTTAAAGTTTTCCTTCCCTCCTCTCCTCCTATTCCCACCCTTCACCTTCTGTCTGCCCTCCTCCCACCAATCCACTCATTCTCTATTTTTGTTCAGAAAGAAACAGGCCTTCCATGGATATCAACGGAGCATGCTGTATCAAGTTTTCGTAGGACTAAATACCTCTCCTTGTATTAAGGTTAGATAAGGTAACCTAGTATGAAGGATATGCTCCCAAATGCTAGCCAAAGCATTAGGAGAGCCCTTAAGAGCAGATATTTACTCTGTGTAGCCCTTGCTGTCCTGGAACTTATTCAGTAGACCAGGCTGGCCTCAAACTCAGAGATCTGCCTGCCTCTGCCTCCCTAGTGCTGGGAATAAAGGCACATACCACCACTGCTTGGCGATGCTTTTCTTTAGAAGTTTTTTAGTAGTATTTTCTACATTAAGTTCCATTGTTTATTTTTATTATAAGGATTTGCAAGAGAATGTATGGGAATTCCATCAGTAGAAGTATGTTTGGAGTCAGTAATACTTGCTGTCATTCACCACTATAGTCTCCACTGAGTTCTTGAGGTGCACATGGCAAACCTTTTCACAAGTTATATTCCCCACTTTTTATTCACAAGAAAATAGTATGTTGACCATATTTGGTGCTATATAATCTTTAAAAGTAAGGATGTGTTAATGGTAGATGTAGTGCTTCTTGCCTTCATAATCTTAGTACTCAGGAGGCTGAGGCAGGCAGACATTTGTGAGTTTAAGGCTAGCTTGGTCTACCTAATAAGTTTGAGCAAGCCAGGGCTACATTGTGAGACCTTGTCTTAAAAACAAATGCCAAGCCATGCAGTGGTGGCACATGCCGTTATTCCTAGCTCTCAGGAGGCAGAGGCAGGCAGATCTCTGTTCGAAGCCAGCCTGGTCTACAGAGTGAGTTCAGGACAGCCAGGGCTACACACAGAAACCCTGTCTCAAAAAAAAAAAACCAAACAAGAAAACAAACAACAAACATACAACCAAACCAAACTAAACAAAAACAAATACTCCAAAGTAAATCAAAACAAAAATAATGTATGCCATCCTTTCTCCAAAACTCCACACATCAGTGTCATCTTCTTTAGCAATCGGTTGCCTGAATGAATGAAATGTAAATTTTGGTCTAAATAGTTTCTTCTGTGTTTTACCAGAATCTTGAACTCAACGATGATACTGTTCTGAATGAAATAAAGTTAGCAGACAGTGACCAGTTTCAGATGCCTGATCTGTGTGCTGAAGAGCTTGCTGTCATCCTTGGAGTCTGGTATGTTAATGGCTGACTTGGCTGTTTTGAGCATCTTGAGTATTGTTTCCGAGTTTGGGAAGATCTTCATCAGAACCTTCCTGTACAGTAGGGATTTTGTACTGCTTATGAAGGTGGAGAATTCTTCTTGGAAAGAGAATTAAAGGGTCACAGGTTCAGAATCTGTTGAATTTGTAGCTTGTTCTTCTCTTTCCTTATCAACAGATATCTTTGTTATCTTCAGCTGGGTGTAGATTTTTAATAAAATACTAAGTAGAGGTTAGAGTGACTGTGTGAGCTGCATGTAGAAGATGGAGGTAGCCTGTGGGAGTATTTCACTAGTTCTCTCCTCCTTGTCTTTTTAGAGACAGGGTTTCTCACTGAACCTGGTACTCTCCTATTCACTGCCCAGTGACCTCTGGGAACCCTGTCTCTGTCACCTTGGACTAGAGCTACAGATGCACACATAAACACAAATGACTTTTGTGTGGATGCTGGGTATTCAAGCTCAGGTCTTTATGCTGGGTTATTGTTGTGGTTAGTCATTTCTCATTTTGAAATGAGTCTCTGATATTTCTCTCCTTATCTGTGTTCTTTATCCACTGTAAAAGTTTTGCAGAAGAAATGGACATTAATTATTTGGTGAAGTTCTTACCCTGTCTTAATGACCTTTTTTTTTTTTTTTTTTTTTTGAGACAGGGTTTCTCTGTGGCTTTGGAGCCTGTCCTGGAACCTCGCTCTGTAGACCACCCTGGTCTTGAACTTACAGAGATCCTCCTGCCTCTTGCCTCCTGAGTGCTGGGATTAAAAGGCATGTGCCACCAACGACCGGCTTGTCTTATGACTTTTTAGTGCTCTTGTTCACTCAAGGAACATAGGATGAGAGAGCATATGAATATATATATGTTGTGTGTTTTAAATTATTTCATAGTTCTTTCCCCATTTATTTTGTTTTGTCACCAACAATAAAAACAGGTGCAGGCCAGGTGTATGGCACATTCCCCAGAGTTCAGGGCCATCTTTGACTACATAGTGCATTCTACACCATCTAGAGCTATATGTTGAGACCTGTCTCAAAGGGGAAAAAAGTAGGGGCTGGAGAGAGGGCTCACTGCTTCAAAGCACTTGCTGTATTTCAGAGGACCCAGTTCTCAGTGCCTGCCCACATCAGTTGGCTCCCAAGTGTCTGTAGCTCCAGGTTCAGGAACTCGGGTGCTCCTGTCTCCTCAGGCATCTGCACTCATATACACATACCCACATGAGGAAAACACACACAGTTAATTAAAAACAATAAAAATAAATCTAAAGTGTCAGTTAGAAGTTATTTCATAAGCATTTCATGCTTATAAGATCTCTAAACAATATTGAAAATTATAAGGAAATAATCCCATGTTATAGGATTTTTTTCATTATTTTTGAATTTCATTGTTTTTTAGATTTATTTTATAACTTTTTCCTGCGTGTGTGTGTGTGTGTGTGTGTGTGTATGTGTGTGTGTGTATGTATGTACATATTTATACATGCACACTTGATGCCCATGAGGTCAGAAGTTACTCTAGGACTGGAGTAACAGATGGTTATAAGCCACCATGTGGGTCCTGGGAACAGAACCTGGGTCCTCTGCAAGAGCAACAGATACTCTTAACCATTGAAACACCTTTCCAGCCCTTTAAAAAATCTTTTGGAGACAGGCCTGCTCTGTAGCCCAGGCTGGCCTCAGGCTGGCAGCAGTCTTTTGCATCACTCTCCTGAGAGCTGGTTTCGGGGTGAGCTACCACATCTGGTTGTTGTTATTCCTAACATGTGTAATGTTTACATGCAGAATAATTTATGCACTATGTGAACTTAAGTTACACGTTTAGCAATAAAGTGGAAGAGGTAAACTAGAAGATTGCAGCATCACAAGTTCAGCCATTTCTTCCATGCCTCACTCTCTTCTTTTCAGAGCAGGTGCTATCCTGAGTTTTGTGTTTATCATTTTCTGGCCTTTAAAGATATGCTTACTCTTACATTTTGTGTCCCTACCATCTGAGGGATTCCATTTGCTTGTTTTCATGCATCCTGTAGTTGCCTGTGGTTTACTTCCTCCTCTCTGTATTGTGTTTCTGTGGTTTGTGCTTTAATCTGTAGCTGTAATTTAATTTGTAGGGTGGCATTCCACTAGGTGGATATGTCACAATTTGTTTTTTTTTTTTTTTTTTTCCATTTGGTGGTTTTGATTATTTTCAGTTTTACTATTCCAGTGAATATTTATGTGTATCAAGTTTTCTGGGCTCTATAATCTATGATGGAATTACTGAGTTGGGGATTTGTGAATGTTTACCTAACTTCAAATTTGTTTGCCAAGTGTGGCACTAATTAGACTCTGCCGTCAGTGTCTTAGAGTGCCGGTTCTCCTACCTTTCTGGTGACTTACTGATTTTAACTTGTCTGGTGGTTATAATAGAATTTGTTTGTAGTAGAACTTTAACAGGACTTAGTGCTGTATTAATTCTTTCCATTGTCTTTGGTTGAGGGGTATCACTTGGATTTCTTTTTTCTTTTGCCATTTACTTTTGCAGGGGTGCATGTCATGGCAAGCACTTTTACCTGTCCAACCATCTTGTAGCCTCTGGACTATAGTATTATAGTATTTGAGTTAAATATGTACTATAAGAGATAGTGATTACAATTAGTTTAACTTTTTTTCTTTTTAATTCAAAGCACCAATTTCCAGAAGAACAACCCAGTTCATAAGCTAACAGAGGAGGAGCTGCTGGCCTTCACATCAGTGAGTGACATTGTCTTCCTTTCCAGTTCCTTCTTTTCCTGTGGTGTGTTCTTGCTCAAGCTGAAACATTTCTCGAGAAGAATGGGGGTGCTAGCCTTATCCCACCAGTTCTCAAGCCACACATTCCCGCTGCAGGCCTGCTTTGCACTTGCTTAGATTTGAAGTCAGGGATCACATTCTTATGTTTTCTTTTTCTTGCTTCTTTTTTTTTTTTGAACTCCATGGTCTGCTGTGCATATAATAGATGGATGGATGGATGAATGAATAAATGAATGAGAACTTTACAAGTCTTATGCATAGGAGTGAGGGCCCATTTTGATACCTACCTGGATTTCTTGACTGAGAGTTGTGAGTAGGGGCGAGAGAGCAGTGGTCAGGGAAGGGGACAGTGTTGGGAACATAGGGCTTGTCAGAATTCCATAGCATAGACTAGCCAGGACAGAAGGACAAATGGAGAATTGGCTGTGGGTTTGACAGGGTGCGTGGCTGGCTTGGGCCACTGTTTGAGCGAATCGTATGCAGTCATCTCATTATATTAGGCTAAATAGGGAGAATAGGACCCAGGCTGGAGAAGAACAGAAGTGAAAGGGAAAGATGGGAATAGATGTTGGCAGATTTGAGATCAAAGGAAAGAGAAGTTTGTCATAGAGTAGACGGCGACTCACTGTGGTTTTGGCTTTGTGAGTGGAAAAGGGTACATATGTTCTTTATTTTTTGGAAATGGGGTCTCTCTAGATAGCCCTGGCTGTCCTGTAACTTCCTATGTAGACCAGGCTGATACTCCTAGTAACTGCCTGCTGAGTGCTGGGATCAAAGGTGTGCACCACCATGCCCAGCTTGATACATACTTTCTTAAATGAATCACATTTCTCATGGCTCTTCCAGAGGCATCCTTATTATCAGAGGATTCAGAACTCGTATTTTCTTTCTTCCTTTTGTATTGTTCAGATAAGAAAAAGAATCTGTTTCTGATAGAAAGAAAAGCTGGCTTGTTTGAGCTGTAGGAGGAGCTTTCCTGTCCACTCTCTTGAACCCCAGGGTAGATGTTAGTTGCTGGAGTCCTCTGCTGTTTTTTTACCTGCCCACTCTTCCCATTCCTTGGTGTCTCAGGGGTTACCGTTATGTGGTAGGCTTTAGCTGACTGCATGGAAATGTCTGATTTACTTATCACATGTGCTATAAAGAATTTAGCAAGCAAAGTGGCAAAATTGTTTTCAGTGTACAGAAAATAACTAGTGTACCTTTCTTTCACTCAACTAGTAACTATGGAATGCTTTCCATGCACAGTTATTATCATCCTCATTGGGGAAATGACGTTGAACAGTATCTTTTTTTGTTCTAGAGTTTTAATTAATTTACATCCCTGAGGGGGAATACACATACAAAAAAGAAATAGATATTTAATTGAAGTACTAAGGAGGCCTATAAAGTAGGGATTGGTGTTGCTTAGCAAGGTGGTCTGGAGTATCTCAGTGGGAAGGTGATGTTGAACACAGAGCCACCTGAAGTGGGACACTGGGGGAGGATGTGGAAGTGTCTGGAATGGCTGTGAGCTTGAGGGAGTGCCAGAAGTACAGGACCCAGAGAATGTCTAGGCAGTAGGTGGTTTGGGGGCTTGGTCTCCCCTAACACCTGAGGTCAGCAGTGATGTGGCAGATGACAGGGAATGTTCTTGCTGGGCTCCATGGTGGGGTAATCAGTAGAAGCACCATCATTTTAGGTTGGCTTAATACACATTGTCATGTATATCAGCCCCAGTTACTGTGCAGACACTTCATCACACTTTGTTAAAATTACAGTCTTGTGAGTGAGGGAAAACTTTGTTCTAGTCTTCAGATTCTATCCTTTTTTTTTTTTTCCCCCTGTTCTTGTTTCTCTGTGTCATGAGGCACTTGCAGGCTAGTTAGCTGGTGGGTCTGATGTGGGTAGCTCTTAACTCCCAGCTTTCAGTGAGGGCCATAATAAATTCAAGTTGCATACTTTCCTCACAAGGGCTTTTTGCTGGGTACTCTATTCTGTTCTCTTCTCCTTTGCCTCTCCTTTACTTCCAATCGATCTAACTTTTCTAAGGAGACTTCTTTGTTAATGTTGAGTAAATATTTCTGAGAAGTACTGCAGTGGGTATGTAGCTCAGCTGGTAGAATATGTGCCTAGTATACACAAAGTCCTAGGTTCAGTTTCTAGAAATGCATCAACCACGTGTAGGTGTGCATGTCTGTAATCTTAAAACTCTGCAAATTAAGATCAGAAGTTAAAGGTCATCTGCAGTAGTTTGAATGTAATTGGTGCCTGTAAACTCATAGGGGGTGGCACTGTTGGGAGGTATGGCCTTGTTAAAGGAAGTGTGTCACTGTCTTGGAGGTCTCTTTTGCTTAAGTCACTCAATGTCACAGTCAACTTCCTGTTGCCTTCTGATCAAGATGTAACCAGCACTGTCTGCCCCCATGTCCCCAACCATGGTGATAATGAATTGAAGCTCTAAAACTGTGAGGAAGCCACCCCAATTAAATATTTTACTTGTAAGAGTTGCCATGGTCATGGTATTCACAGCAATAGAAACCCTAAGACATAAATTAGAGGCCAGCTTGGGACACACAAGCCCCTGTCTCTAATAAAACCCAAACCAAACAACCACCTACAGATAGGAAGTACTGCAAGGAATACAAACATGTGAGGGCTTCAGGGGTCCGTGAGTCCTCTAGCTCTGCACTGTCCCTTTCCGTTGTCTTTCTCAACTGAAGCATACACAATTCAGCAGGAAGACAGAACAGCGGTGTCTTGATGGATATCCCTTCTCTGCTATATGACCTGGCACTGAGACTGTAAACTCTTTGGTGCAGGAGATTCCTTTGTTGATGTAAGAGCAATCCAATATAAGTTTTAATATCCTATAAAAGATTGGCAGTCAGCCTAGGACAACCAGGCTGGCCTTGGACTCACAGAGATTCGCCTGCCTCTGTCTCCTAGATACTGGGATTAAAGACGAGCGCCCCCACTGTGTGGCTGACTCAGTAATGCTTGTAATTTCCTTTCATTGTTGAAAGTTTGTCCAAGGGTGAATTGATGCTGGCCCCTTGCCTTCTGATTGTCTGCCTGCCTTCCAGGTTCTCCATGAAAGGAGAGAGTCCTTTAAAAGTCTTACATTATGTTTTATGTATTTTTTCTTTCTGATATTGATCCCCTCCCTCCCCTCTTCTCTCCCCTTCTTGCCTTCTTGTCTCCTCCGTATTTTTTTTTTTTTTTAAGATGGAGACTTTGTTTGGCTTTTGAAAAAAGGTCTGAGGTAGGCCACTGCTGTCCTCACATTCTGTCCTCAGCAGAGGGTGATTTCGAACTCATGATTTGCCTACTTCCACTTCCCAAGTGCTGGGACTGCAGATGGAAGCCACTAGCACCTACCTTTGAGATGGAATTTTTTTAACGTTGATCTTGTTGATCTTAGATCCATAATATAACTGTTCTTTTACCTCAGCCTTCAGAGTACAAATGTTTTATACAAATAGCTGCATCAGATCCTAATGAATACTTGAAATAAAAGTCAAAGATTGTTCTAGGGGTAAAAAAGGCAAAACATCAAAGATTAAGCTGGATGTGGTGGCAGACACTCTTAATCCCAGCAGTGAGGAGGAGCTCTGTGAGTTCAAGGGCACCTGGCATACAGAGTGAATTGATTTCCAGGACAGCTGGGGCTACACAGAGAGAAGAGAGTCAAAGATTGTCCTGGTGATAGGAGCAGAGGAGAGTTGTAGTTCTGCATCTGAAGAGATGCATTAGTGCAGTAGAGAGCTGCAGCTCTGCATCTGAGAGGAAATGCATCGGCGACTATAGGGTAGCTATGTAGTGTTGTCTAAACAGATCGAGGTGTACAATGAATTTGAGTATTAATGTACTGGATACATTCACTGAAGAGAAGGCTGTTATTTTAGACCTATATTATTTAGGGTTAATTCATTTATAAATAGATCTGCCTGTTAATATAGTGTGGGTGTTTTGTTTGTTTGTTTGTATTTTTGTTTTTGGTCACAAGTACAACACAAAACATTAAACCCGTATCATGTATTAAGTAAGTAGTGTCAACATTAGACCAGATACTCAATATGAAATTGCTCAGTGTTCTTATTTATGTTATTTATCACTTTTTTCTGAGGCAAAAATCAGAATAGTTTTTTCAAGATTTATGAAATGCATTAGTTGGTTATGGTGACAGACGCCTTTAAGCCTAGCACTTGGGAGGCTGAGGCAGGTAAATCTCTTGTGTTCAAAGCCAACCTGTTCTACAGAGTTCCAAGATAGCAAGGAGTACACAGGGAAACCCTAGAGAGAGAGAGAGAGAGAGAGAGAGAGAGAGAGATGCTGTTTAAAGCTGTAGTTAGGGTATACTTCATCCTGAGCATTTACATAGGTTATTGGTGTTGAAATAGTTTGTTGATTTCCCTTTCCTTTCCTGATGATTTAGAGGCAACAGGAGTGGCCAGTAGGAAGGTGGCTAAGATGAGTGTGTTCTATGGACAGAAGGCTTGAATATTAAAATAGTATGGGTTAATTGACATCCACTAAATAAGTGGAATTTTAATACACTAGTAAACTAATAATTTTCAGGCAACTTATATTAACAGACATAGTATGATGTAATTATTTTAAATCTTTAAATGCCATTTTTAGTACAAAGTATTTAGAAGAATTCAGGAGATTTATATAAGAATTCTTTATAATATTTTCCTAACTTTGCTGAAGGGGGAAAAAAAATCTACATTACATGTGACTAGTATCATTTTTTTTTTTTTTTTGAGTTGAAGACATGAGCAGATTGTCTGAAACATGTTCATATGGTCTCTGTTGAAGTTCTGTCTATCTGCCTACAGGTTTAACTTTGTGCCTTACCCTAGAACTCTAATCCCGGCTACATCAAACATTTCCAGGTTTTTTTTTTTTTTTTTTTTTTTTTTTTAGCAGTGCCCTTATTTTTTGAGACACTGTGCTATTGTCTTAGTAACATTGAAAACAGGAGGGCGCTAAGAAATAAATGGATATTATTATAGATCTTCAGTAGTTGCAATGTGGCACTCTGGGAGACCTACCTTCCTAGATAATAGTTATGAAGACACTGCCAGACTCATGAGAGATTGGAGAGGCACCCAATGATTCTTCTTACTTAAACATAGAAATGCTAGACATGCAAGATCCCAGGAGCTGGAGTCAGGGACAGAAGCTGCAGGGCAGACACCTGAAGCCTAAGCAGCTGTGAGGGCTGGAGTCACTGAAGGTTGGATGGAGTGGGATAATAGCACTTTCAGTGAGTTAAGACTTTCAGGCAAGTCTGAAAATCACCTGAATTTCATGTGCTGTTCAGCCTATGACTGCCCAAATCACTGTCTTCTTCAGGGAAAGCACTTCAGTTCTATACAGGAGTTGTACCATGAGCTCATGGTTAAAGCTGAATGTGTGAAAGGTAAGTCCTCATGCTGAGATGGCACAGAAGCACAGCCTACTAAAGCTCCGTGGAGACTGGAGCTCACTGACAGTAAAGTGGGCAGCACCCCACAGTGTTTAAGGATAAAAGGTACAAGCAATTTCTGTTCCTTAGTAGACTTTCATGGTTTTGGAAGGAAACTGTGACATACAAAGGTAATTTGAAGAGTAGACAATAGGATTAAAGGCTGATTAATCCATGCTTAGCCTCTGGCATCAGGAAGATGTGCATCACAGATTCACCAGACAGCCCATTCTTGGGTACCTGAGTGAAGCTCATCCCTCTGCATCTGAAGACACATACAGAAGTGTTTAAAAGTTGCACATGTTGTGATGGTCAAAGGCGGGAAGCAGACAGTTGTTGACAGGAAGGTGGATACCCAATTGTGACTTAGTTGTGATTATGTAACATCCTGCAGTAGTAAGTTTATGGTTGTGGCAAACTAAGAAGCTAGTCCTAGATGCCTGGGTCTGCATTGTGTACTCTATAACTTGGGGTTTCTCACTTTGAAATTCTGTATACATTGTGGGAGAAATACCCTATGGAAGAAGAAAAGGAATGAGCCATGGAACTTACCCTCATGGAATTTTTAATTTAGACCAGATCAAATAAATTCACAGATATAATTGCCAATCAGGCAGTTTGACAAACTTACAGAACCGAAAAGCAGATCACCTGGTTGCTAAGAAAGGAAGAACACATTTAGGACTGAGCATCAGCAAAGGCTTTGGTCTCTAGGGCAGGCTTTGAGGCTGGCTGTGAAAGGCAGACAGGATTTCCGTGGTCCCATATGTTGAAGGTGGAGTCTGGGCAGCCAGTGAGTCAAAAGAGAAAACAGGCCCATGACAGACTTGAAGTGTTCTCCCAGCAAAGATAGAGAGTTTGGACTGCTGTTCCCTTTTCCTGGGAACAATTTGCAGCTTAAACTAGGAATTTTAAACTTACTATTTCTTGGTAATAGCTTAAAATAAATATTCTTTTAAGTAGGTCATTTAAAGTAGGGAGATGGTTCTGTGTTTTATAGCATTTCTTTGTTCTTTGTTCCCTTGGTCAACTTGACCTGGGTGGGCATCATCCCTTTGGCATGATGTGGCCAAATAATCCTTGGCCCAACAAGGAGAGCCCAGAGCTGCCTTTGATTTACCTGTGGAAAAAACTGTCTGGAAGCTGTTTGTGTCCAAAGCATTAGACTGCTTGTCAGTTGAATAATGATCTTAGTAACATTTGGAAGAACATTCAAAATGTGCAGTCAGAAGAGTGAAAAGGAATCTTGTTTTTAATAGAGACAGTTCTCCAGATCCTTTCTGATAGTGCTACAATTCTTGTTGCTTGCCTCAGGCTGGAGGGGAATGTTGCAGGTGGTAGGAAATTGTTAGCTGAATAAAATAAGTATGTATACATCCTGTACCTGCATAAGGAGTGGGTGCTGCTTAGCGTAAGTTCTAGTAGTGCTCACTGGCTTTTTAAACTTAGTCATTATTTGTGTGTGTGTGTGTGTGTACATGCGCATGCACTTAGAGTCAGAGGACAACTTTCAGGAGTCACCCTTCTCCTTCTACCTTGGGTTCTGGGGATTGACCTCAGGCCATCAGGCCCCCACAGAAAGCTCTTTTACTTGTGGAGTCATCTGTAGTTAGCGAGGTTTACAGTACCAGACATGAATTCTTACCTGTTGAGTGGACTTTAGTTTTTTATAAACACTGCCATTGTTCAATTACACCTGTGTATACTTCATCCTCTGCCAAAGAAGACAAGCAATATACCCTGTTGGTTCCTTTACCCTTCCCTGTGTACCTGCAGTGAGTTGAAGAGTTTCTCTCTGTACCAAACTGGATGTAGCATTGGAGAAATCCCTGTGTGAAATGGAGTCATTTAGATAAGGCGATCCAGAAACATGGTAGCTGTTAAGCTGAGGCAGAGTCTTCATGGACAGTGGGGTATCGTCACTGCTAAAGTTCTAAATAGAGTGGAATTACGAGAAGTGATCCTGTGTGACCTAGTGAAGACAGAATCACTTCTCCCCGTATGCATGGGCAGATTTGGGCTTGACTTTTTAGCAGTGGTTGCCTGCTGCCTAGGAAGTGGATTGTTCCCAATGTTGAGTTTGCTTGTAAATACAATTCTTAGCACAAGTCAATAGCTCATGTGTGGAAGTCCTGTTCGGTTTTCTTTGCCTAATGCTGCACATTAGGATTTATCATCATCAACATTATCATTACTATTTTGAAATAGGGTTTCTGTGTATAATAGTCCTGGCTGTGGTGGAATTTGCTCTGTAGAGCAGGCTGGCCTCGAGTGCACGGAGATCCACCTGCCTGTGCCTCCCGAGTGTTAGGATTAAAGGTGTGCATCTTGCTTGGTTTAGGGTGATTCTTACCTCGTGGCAGTGTTTCCTGCAACAAGCTGACTACAGTGTGGAATTTCTTCTTAGACATCATCATTTGCTCCATTATTCTTTCAAAGCTTTTAAAAAATTCTGATGGTCAGATGGCATCTTGCTTTCATTGTTTAGTGGTAATATTTTTCTTGCTACCACATAAAAGTCTAAAGGCTGGCCTCCTGTCCTCAAGCCTTTGATGTGTAAACCACTGAGAGAAAGAGAGGCCATGGAGGGCTAGGGGTGCCTCAGGGCTGCTCTCATAGGTTTCTGAAGCCCCACTGTTCATATTTATGTTCATACTTCTGAGAAGTGAGGAGGGTTCTTCTAACTTCAGAGAGGAGGAAACAACTTCCTAGGGCCAAAAAGTAGAGGGGAGCTGTGATTTTAATCCAGCCCTGGCTGGTTTGGGAGGCTCTTCCTACTGTGTGTGCTGTCTTCTGTCTTGCTACTGCTAGTTTACAGATCGCAACCTCAGTGATAGGATGAAAAGAAAATAAGTTTGCAGGAGGCCAGGTTGGTGGATACACTTCACTTTAAAATGTTGTGCACTCTAAAGAATTCATTTTCTGACTAGGATGTAGCTCAGTGGTTAAATGCTTGCCTTGCATGCGTAAGGCACAGAGTTCAAGTCTCAGCACTGTTGTATCCTGGGAATTTGTTTTTAAATGTCTTCTATTTTGTCATTCATGGTGTTATAGTGATAAGTATTTCTGTTCATGTTGGAAAATGCATTCCAATGTGAATGGAAGCTAGCAAAAGGTTATACATTTTTCTTAGAAACTGTATTTCAAGCAATAAAGTATTTTAATTAAAAAGAAGTTAGTTTGGAAGAAAATTATTAAGATATTGCATTAGGACATACATCAGCTTTCTAGGTACAGAGTCTAGTCTGCATCACTTGCTGCTGTCTCTAGAGCCTGTGAACAGTTCTTGCACAGAGTGAGGGCTCAAGTACATTAATGAGCAGACTTCAGGAAGACCTCATTCCTTTGCTATCCTTCTCCTTGTGCATTTCTGTGTCTCTATCTTTCAGGTTCTTTCATGTGTTTATGTTACTCTGTTTTTCGGTTCTGACTTGATAGTATCATCAGTATCTGATTGGCAATTACCTGAAATTGTTCACTTAAATGTGCATAATTTCATTTGGAAAATCTTACAAAATGACAGAGTATTGCTCTGGGACAAAATACTATTGACTTCATTAATACTGTTATCTTCATTTTCTTTCTTTGTAGGTTAGTTTTCTTAGGATACCCATTTTAAGAAAGAATTTTGTTAGAAGTTAGGACATCTAACATTGAGGACTCTTAACTACAGCTAAAAGGATTCTCCTATGTTTACAATAATGTTCTATAATGTGAGTTTAAAAAGACCCTGCTTTTTTGTTGTCTTAGGTTGTCAAATCTACATTTAGCTGTATTGTGATTTTTTTGAGGGGGGAGGGGCAAGTCTAAGAGTTGCCCTTCTGGCTAACCCCTTTCTCTGTCCTCCTTTCTTCTAACAGTGTTTACTTTCACAACCAAAGTTCTGGGCCATTCAGACATCAGCCTTGATCCTCCGGACAAAACTTGAGAAAGGAAGTACCCGGCGAGTGGAACGGGCCATGAGGCAGACACAGGTACCGTGGTGGCACTAACTCCCTCTGTTGCTGCAATATGTGTGTACATGTGGCACTTGCAAGAACGAGGTGGCTCGTTCCACACACATTTTGCTGTTAACTTAGGTTACAGGTTCTAGAATTTGATTTGCCTGCAAAGCTCAGCTTTGTCACTTTCCTTTGTGGCTCTGTGACCTCAGCATTTAACCTCTGTAATCCCAAATCTCATCTTGTATTTATGCTAGCCTCACTGTGCAACTGAGAATAAGCTCCTGTCTTCCTCACCTTCCAGGCAATGGGAGTGGCCTGCCCTACCGTGCTGGCTTGGATTTTGGGTCTTGTTTTTGGTGTCAGGTGGTGAGAATGAGCATTGAGTAGGGAGCATACACTTGAAAGCAGAGTGATGTCACTTTGCAGGGGCTGCTCTTCCTTAGGCCTTCGTATGTTGGGGTTGCTTCATCGTCTCATCTTGTGCCACATTAACAAGAGAGGTGTGTATTTCTTCTTAAGGAGCAGAATTAGGAAGCTGATATTTCTGCTTCTGCAGAGCAGTACTTTAGGGGAGAAGTCTTTATTTCCCCAATTCCCAAATTTTGGAAATTGGCCAGATCACGTGACAGGATGAACCCATGGTTTGTCTAATTTTCTGTCTTTGTTGAGCCCCATAGCTCATACTCTGAACTTTTCCCAGTTCCTCTGATTCACAGTGTGGTATTTCAGGGTTTGTTGAAATTACTATATCTCTCAAGAGAAAGGAAATGACTTAAAATAGCAAATGTATATATTAAACAAAGGTTTTTAAAAAATCAAAGTGTTTTAATTTCTATAAAGATTGGTTTCCTTCCATCGCTGTATAGTGCTAAATGATAAAATGTTAGAGTTGAGGGGGATAGCAAGGGGCGCCAGAAGGGGCTCTAAGGAGTGCAATCATGTCCTAATCCTGTTAAGGAATGCAGATGTGCTGAAGTCAGGTGACTTGTCCAGATTTGTCTGGCCAGTTACTGACAGTCTGTATGGGCTGTTACTGTCAGTTACATTGAGGGCTCCACATAGTGGACTTTTAAGTGACAGACGGCCAAAATTAAGAAGGAAATGCTGCATTATACATGAAGGTAGATCACCAGAGTTTCTTAAAGCTACAAGAAAGAGAGAATTGCAAACTCAGGACAAGCCATTAGAAATAGTCCATCCCATGAAATCTTGTAGGATGAGTGCTGTTGCCTGTTAAGGTTAAGAGTGTAGGTGAGGATCAAGTCAGTGCTTGTGGAAACCTGTTCACTGTAGTGCCTGTAGTATTGAAGTGGAGTCACAGCTGTCAGTGCTCTGGTGGTTTGAATGAGAATGGCCCACATAGAACCCTATGGTTCAAATATAGGGTTGGTCATATATTTGAATGCTGAGTCACTAAAGAGTGACACTATTTGAAAGGATTAAAAGGATTAGGAGTTGTGACCTTATTGGAGGAAGTTTGTCACTGGAGGTGGGCTTTGAGGTTTCAAAAGCCCCTATCAAACCCAGAGGCACCCTCTCCCTCTCCCTCTCCCTCTCCCTCTCCCTCTTCCCCTCCCCTCCCCCCACCTCCCTCCAGGTCAGGTTCTGAGCAATTGTTCCAGTGTCTTCTTGAATGCTGCCATGCTTCCTGCTGTGATGATACTGGGCTGAACCTCTGAAAGTATAGGCAAGCCCCCAATTAAATTCTTTTTCTTACAATAGTTGCCTTGGTCATGGTATCCTTTCATAGCAATAGGACAGTAACTAAAACAGTAGTCATGTCTACTTAAAAAAAAAAAAAAAAAAAAAATGTAAGCCAGGCATTGGTGGCACACACCTTTAGTCCCAGCACTTGGGAGGCAGAGGCAGGCGGATCTCTGAGTTCTAGACCAGTCTGGTCTACAGAGTGAGTTCCAGGACAGGCTCCAAAGCAACACAGAGAAACTCTGTCTTGAAAAAAAAAAAACCAAAAATAAATAAATAAAATGTGTAGCCTTTTCTATTGTCATTCAGCTTTCTCTTTCTCATTAGAATAAAATTTTTTGAGATATTTCTTATTTTTTTTTATTTTGAAAATTTTATTTAGATCCCAAGTCCATTTTTTTTTTTTTGAATAGGTTGTTTGGTTTTTGAAGTTCTTTATATATTCTAGATATTAATCCTCTGTCATGTTACAGCTGGCAAAGATTTTCTCCTCGGTGGCTTGTTTATATTTGTACAGAAGAATTTTAGTTTAACCCGGTCCCGTTTGCCTCAGTTCCCAGGCAAATGCAATCCTAGTCAGAAAGTCTGTATCCCGTGGGGTTTTGTCTGTGCTTTCTTCTAGCAGTGTCTCACATTTGTCTTGGGTGTGTTTTGAGTGAATTTTGAACGGGTTATAGATATGGCCTAATCCCCCTTCTGCATGTGGCTCCAGTTCTCCCCGCGCCGTTTGTTGAAGATTCTGCTTTTTCTCCAGGGTTTGCTTTTGACATCTTTGTTAAGTTTTGGCTGAAGTTGTGAGTATGCAGTATGAAGTTATGAGTATGTGTCTTCAACCTTGTTCCATACAACTTAATATGATGATTAGAACACATGGAAGCACAGTTCCTTCCAGTCCCTCAGAAATTCTGAAGGTTTAAAGGGACCTGAAGTCGAAAGTTTTAGCAGTCCTCACCCAAGGCGAGGTTAAGGAAAGCGATGTCAGTGTGGTCAGCCTGCTTTCTCCAGGCTACCTCTGATGGTTTGTCTTCCTTGTAGAAGCTCCAAGAGAAGCTCTCATTATCTAACAACAGTGGCTGAGAATGTTACTGACTATGGCAGCCCTGATTCCTGTGTTAGAGGATTTGAGTGCCATAAAGAATGGTCAGTTACAGTTTTCAATGTTTCTTCAGCAAGAATCTGCTTTTCATTTCACAGTCTGGTCTTTGGTCATGTGGAGATGAGCTGAGACTTAGAAGCTGCCAGGTTGGCTCTCCTGCTCTGCAGGCCTGGGGCTTTGACATGGATTTTATTTCTCAGAGGTGTCATTTGCTAATTATTATGTAATATTGGTTCTACATAGGTTTAAGGTTGTTGAAACTTAGTAAAATTTAATTGTAATTCTCCTTCCCATGGGGAATTTTATTATCTTTGAGTCTGAAGTGGTAGTTCATTTGACTGCTTGGTTTGTAAATCACTGTTGACTTTAGTTAGGCTCCTGTCAGAAACAAAGCTCTCCCACCCAGCTGTTGATATATTTACATAAGTATGTATTTTTAATTTTTTGAAATAAAGTTCTATCATGCACACACAGACATGTCAAAGATTGCGCAACAAAGCAAATAAAAGGTGATCTGGCATGTGATCAGTCATCCCTTTTAGATTATCAGCTAGTTATATTTGGCTCTTCAGATGGCCCATAGCCATTTTGATATGCTCCTAGTGAGAATGAATTGCCTTCAGTGAAAGGGGAAGGCCCTTTGGGACCAGCTCTGCTCCTTTGAAGATGAATGGCCATACTTTCAGATGCAAGCATACAAGGTCTAAATGATACCAGACCTTGTGCAGAATTGTCTTACATACTTAATCATCCTCTGTGCTAACTTGATCTCCTGTAGGGTTTTCTGGGAAATTCTTTACTGAAAAAGGCACCAAAAGGAAGAGACACATCTTTGCATTCTGGGGTTTCATTCTTCTATACCTATTCCATAGAGACACTTCTGACCAATGAAACTATAGCTTCTGGAGATGTGGGCATTGTTATTGTGGGGGTTGGGAGCTCCATATGGGCAAATATTTTGCTTTTAGAATGAGTTTAGGAGAAATAACCTTAAAAAGAAGTATTAGAACTTGAAAACAAGCCAGGTACAGTGGTGTGTATCTGTACTCCCAGCCTTTGGGAAGCTGAGTCAAGAAGATTTCCCAAAGTTTGAGATCTGCCAGGGTTACCTCTGAGAGAGGGAGAGACCTCACTTTTTGGACACCTGGTTTTGCTTCCAGTGAATATACATGATATTTGTGATTAGTGACTGGTACTAACAATTAACCAGCTTAGTTTAAAAGTCTGAAATGAAACAAAACTCTGGGGGCCTGGAGGTGTTGCTCAATGGTTAAGAGCACCTGTTGCTCTTGCAGAGGACCTGGGTTCAATTCCTTTCACCCACATGGTGGTTTCCAACCATCTATAACCCTAGTTCCAGGGGATCTGATGCCTTCTGAGCTCTATAGGCACAGGACTCACAAGTGGTGCTCATAAATACACAAAAGGCAACACACACATCTACATAAAATAAAGCTACAAAAATTAAGAAAATTTTAAAACAACAAATCCACCAAAGCTTTCTTGAGAAAGCCATCCTTGTAGATTTGCTGAAAGTGCAAAGATTATTTTAAAAGTCCTTTCATGATCACTTTTTTTGTGGTTAGACCTGGAAGAAAACTCAGGTCATTGTGAATGTCAGCCCTGCTTTTTCCCATTGCCTGTGCCTGTGAGGATTACATTTGTTTGAATATGATAGAATTTTAGAACTTACTGGAAATTAATTTGCTCTGAAAAATCTAGTCACCCACTGCTTCTAGCCAGGTCCTTTGGCTCAGGGACTCCACACCCTTCCCGTATAACATCGCTAGCTGGAGCCCAAGTGTTCAGACACATGAGCCTGTGGAGGACATTGCACATCAAACCATGACAGGATTTTGTTAGGCTGTGTTTGTAAATTAGCAAATAAAAAGAGAGTACTTTGAACTCAGTAGAGACTAGCAGTGTACCACCACCCCCCTTTTTTGTCTATTCAATATTCTTAGTTTTGTTTTGTTTTCTTTGTAGTTGAGCCTTACTTAGGTGATTGCCATGCTTAAGATGCCAATAAGTGTATTCTGTGTTGGCGAGAAGTAGATAGTGTTAAAATAATCTTTATCAGCCAGTTCTGCTCTTGTAGGGCTCTTCACACCAGTGATTCTCAACCTGTGGGTGTGTGGTGACCTCACAGGTTGTATATTAGATATTTACATTACAATTCATGACAGTAGCAAAATTATAGTTATGAAATAATTTTATGATGGGGGTCAGCACAACATGAGGAACTGTATGAAAGGATTGCAGTGTTAGGAAGGTTGAGAACCACTGCTCTAGACAGTGCAATGCATGTTGGTTTAAAAAAAAGGCCTTTCTTTTCATGAAGGAATTCTGTGATATTTATTTATATATTGTGACCATATGTCTTCAGCCAGAAGGTGCTGTTCATTCTTTGCCCTCCCTCCCTCAGTGAAATAGCCCTGGCTAGAGGCGTGCAACCTTTTTTCCTATTAAGTTTCTGTGAAGTAAGGCCAGGAATCTTTGTCAAGATGACTGAGGAGTGTAGTTATGTCTCGATTTGTTCTGACTAACTTTAATTGAATAGAATCTCAGGCTATCCTAGAAGTGATGTGTACTACTTTGTTCTGACATGTGAGATACTGAACCAACCAATAGGTTTCCTTCCTCACATATGGCCGAGAACCATAGTTGCAGAGCTGTTGTGCTGTCTGGCTCTGCGGCACTTACTTTTCTCATTTCTGTAATAAAAGACCTGGGAGATTTTAATTCATCATGACAGGGAAGTCACAGTGAGAACAACTCAGTCTGTGTGGGTGGGAGCATAAGGCAGGATGGCTATTCACATTGACAACCAGTATGCAGAGAGTTCTAGATCACAAAGGCAGGATAAATTTCCAAAAGTCACCGCTGCTACCTGCTTGAGCTCTTGGCTCAAAGGTTCTACAGCCTCCCAATGTGGTACTCCATACCTGGGGACAAGAGTTCACTCCATCCTGTGGGGGACATTTCATATCAAACCTTGGTAGGATTTTGTCAGAATGTGTTAGACCCCTACCCTTATCTTTCTTCTGAGGAAGTTTATTCTTGATTCTTAATTTTGTCAAAAATTGAAACAACTTGAAAGCAGACACTAGTATAACAACTCTTATATATTCTGAGATAAATCCTGAGAGTGTGCTATCACACAACTTTCTATGTTAGAACCAGAAAGTTAAGAAAGACACGTTAATAATTAACTCTATCATTGTGGGGGAAAAGGTTACAATATTTCACAATTGAAATTCTGATACCAAGTCTAGCATAGTGGTGCATGTCTTTCTTTGGTCCCAGTACTCAGGAAGCAGAAGGAGGAGGATCTCTGAGTTTGAGGCTAGCTTGGTCTGCAGAGTGAGTTTCAGAACAGCAGGAGTTACACAGAGAAACCTTGCCTCGAAGCCCCACTCCTGCCCCCCACAAAAAAGTCTGATACCAGAAAAAGTCTGTAGTTGGTACAAACCTACTGACAGATCAGAGGCGGGCAGATGTCTGTGGTTATGGCTGCTGTCCATATGTTTGTCTGGGATTCTAGATGATGTCTGTATTCAAGTTGACATTTGTATATGAGTCTTTTTAGATGACTAGTCACTTGATTACTAACTATAGTGCCAGCTTTTGACTCTGTAGTTGGCCTGGGCTGCTGTTCTCAAAGAGCCTTCTTGGGCCTCTCATCTACTACTTGGTGTAGTCTCTGGGAGCTGTTTTTTATTAACAGGTTGGGAATTCCAGGATGTCACAAGAATTCAATTACAAAGCTTGCAGCCACCCACTCCATTGCACAGATGGTCTTGCATGAATGGATGCCACCCTTACATCTCTTTTGCCAAGGATTGAGATTACCTGTTTGTAATTGGCCAGAACTGCTTTTCCTCATTACTTAATTTCTGAGAAAAAACTCCCAAGTTTTTCATGTAGTTACTCTCTCATTGACATTGGAGAGTGAATTGTCAAAATAGCATCATGTAGGAGATAAATATAATTTTTCTTAGAATGGCTAGTTCTTTGAAGGATTTATTATAAGAAATTTTAGTTTAAAATTTTTCCTGTTAATATTTAAGTGTGCATGTTTATTAGAAATATTGATTAAATTTCAAGTTTTTAAAATACATAAACTTCATACATCTTCTAACCTTGACAAAAATGACTTGTGTTCTTTATATGTGCATTTGAATCATTTTTATAATAGGAACTTTATATTAAAAATGATTGAACATACAGATGTGATTATTATGTTTCCTTAGGCTCTTGCAGACCAATTTGAAGATAAAACTACATCTGTACTGGAACGTCTGAAGATTTTCTATTGTTGTCAAGTACCTCCTCACTGGGCTGTTCAGGTACTTCTGTTTGTCTTTGATATGGAAAATACTCTGAATTAGAAAAGAAAATATGTTAGAGAGGGGTGGCTTAGACATATTTATTGACATTTTAAATATTTCAGTGAAATTAATAAAAGCAGTTGGGAACTTCCAATTATTTAAATTGCCATTTTGATTAAAGTGGTAATGGATTTAAAAACACTTTGAGATGGTTTTAAATTGGTACTAGGTAGAATCCTATAAATTAAGACAGGCGAATCATAAGTGCTTCTTTCTTTTCATGAGTGGGAGTTCATTAAGAAGAGGTTTTAATACAGATTTAAGCATAGGTGTGGAGAGAGGGAGAAAGAGTGGGAGGAGAGAGTGCTTTAGTTAAGAATGGGTTTGGGCTTCTCAGTGGAGTTACCCTCCCATTTTATTTTCAAAAGGACATTTTATATTAGCTTCTCAAAGACTTATTTTTTATTATGTATAAGAGAGTGTATGTAAGTAAGTGTATATATGGTGCATGTGTGTGTGTGTGCATGTGCATGTGCATGGACATGTGCAGATGGCTATGGAGGACAAAAGAGAGTATCCAGAGCTGGGGCTCACAGCCACCTATAGCCCAGGGAACTGAACTCTCCCGGCATGGAAGAGTAGGAAGTACTTTTTAACTGATGAGCCATCTTTCAAGCCTCAACATTTTATATTCAAGGGTCTTCAAGGACTTTTCTACAAACAGTAAACCTTAGAACCTTTTAACAAAGGAAACTATTTATTTGACACTTTGTTTTGAGATACCCCTGGCTGTTCTCTTTCCAGGGTGCAGGGTGACTGGGCTCCTAAAGTCCCTGACTGAGCTGGTATGTGGCCTTTTGTCCCCGTGATTCTTTTGGATTATAGATGTGTCCCCCCTAGTTGTTTCTTTAACTTGATGGAGAAGACAGCTGAGCTCTGAGCTCCTCTGGAGTGAACTGTGCACAAGAACTAGCTCCTGGTGTCTTAACACAGTGTCTGCTTTAATTTCTCTTACCTTTTCCCCCATTTGAGACTGAATCTCTCTATGAGGTCCTGCCAAGCCTGAAACTTAAAGAGCTCTGCCTGCCTGTGCCTTCCGGGTACATTTAGTAGGATGCATACATTTTGTTCTACAGTTTCCACATTACCTTATTGTATGGCACTGATGTTATAAAATGTTCCAGACTTTAGAGTTGGGGCACTATAGCACACAGATTAAATGATGTTAGCCAGAACCTTCTAGATGGTTTAGTGACTTGACATTTTAGTCAGCTTCCTGACCTGTCACTTGTGTATTACACTGCTCTTCAGTGGCTCTGAAGCTCTGGTACAAGATTCTGTAGGGAGATGTTAGTATCTTAAGCTAGGAGGTTCATTTCTTACATGATAGAAGCCACCAACTCAGGAGGAGCTAACAGCCATAGTCTTGGGTATACACTTACCCAAGTCCTGAGTGGTTTGTGGCTGGTCAGCAGTTGAGATTCTGAGCTATTGTTAAAAGAAAACATATCTGTTGAGTATGTAGCTTCTGCCCTTTGGTTGGGAGCCTGAGCCTTTACTTAACACCTGAGCCCTCTCTCCAGCCAAGAGTGTAGCTGTTTTTGTTTCTGAATAGACAATTGGAAATTTAAATACTATCTTGACAGAACTTAAACAGTTGTTTATCTGCTTAGGAAGCTATAATTTCAGAGTCCTTTGGCAGTGTGAGAAAATATACATCATTTTTTATTAAATTAAATCGCCCCTTTTCTTTTTATCATAGTGACTAGCCATATCTTTATTATTTGAAATAAAAGTGCAAACAGCAGTTTATTGTAAGAAAAGTCTTTCCCTCTGGCCAGCTATATCATCCCACCTTTTAAGATACAGAAGTACTCCTGCATGCACAGCAAGGTGTGTTGATCTCCTGCAGCCTGTTATCTAGTTTCAGAACAGATTCAACCAATGCTCTGAAATTGCCAAATTTTCCTATATTTTGTGGTACATAGTAATATTTTTAAGCCCTGTCCCCTTGTCTTTTTGAGACAAGGTCTCACTATGTATCTCTGCCTACCCTGAAACTCATTATGTGGACCAGTTTGGCCTCCAGCACACAGAGTTCCACGTGCCTCTGCCTCCCAGTATTGAGATTAAAGGCTCACCCTCCCCCAATGCCTAACTTCCATTAGCTTCGTGAATTCTTAAGTGTGTGCTGAATTTTAAAGATCATAAAGATGTATTCAAAAGAGAAAACAATGCAGTGACCACTGACATGAAACCAGACCTTGTTCAGAAACATGATCTCCTTTATTTTCTTATAATAATATCTTTTCATTCCTGTAGGATGGGCAACCTAAAACACATTCTACTGATTGTTAGAGCATTTTTTTTTTTTTTACTGGCCCTCACCTACTTTGCTTGCTCATCTTGATTTTTCAGGGGCTGTGCAATTAATTAAGTGACTCAGATTACTAGACTGTGTCTAAAATAAGTAGGACTGCTTGAGACAGAGCTTGAGATGCTCTCATATGTAAATTCTCAGGGATGAAGCACAGAGATTTAATGGTGTCTGCATTGCTTCCTCAGAGCTTTAAACACTGGATTATTGAATATGACCTTTACAAATCTGAGCTCCTCATGGAAGGAATCTTAAGAAGGAAATGATTTGTGTTTTTAAGTTCCAAGATACTTAGAAATTTGATGCATTGAATGTTTTGATCAGTTTTTATTTTTTTAGTACTTCATCGCCTGCAAAAATGCTTACTGAAGTGTGGTTCTCACAAATTCCTAGATAGCAATGTTTGAATTCCACAAATGATATATGTATTACAATAAGCAGCCCTTTAAAAGGCTGGTTTGCAAAATGGGTTTGTTCCCTGTTGAGGAGTGTTGATGACTCTCATTTGTTTTCCTAGCGCCAGCTTGCAGGTTTGCTCTTTGAGTTGGGCTGTACCACTTCAGCCCTTCAGATATTTGAGAAGCTGGAGATGTGGGAAGACGTGGTCATCTGTTATGAAAGGGCTGGGCAGCATGGGAAGGTAGGTAACAGTCATGTCTGTAAGGTGAGCGCCTCCTTTCTTCCGCACTTCTCCATTGCTCCTCAGAAAGCCCACTCTTGACAGTATGTCCATCCCTTGCTCCACTTAAGACTTTCTAGTGTTTACTCTGATTTATGTTCAGCAGCTTATTTTATGTGTCCATAAAAGAGAAAAGCAGCCTAGAGTTGATATGATACTTGGCATTTAAGACAGAATAGTAAAAACTTTGAAAGCACTTCATATTTTGACCTATTTTCTATTGATTCTTTATAGGACAGCTTTGAAGTAAAATACCAGGAATTAATTTTAATTGTCTCTGGGGTACTTGATAATTAGAGGCTGTGGACATGAGGAAGTTATCTAGGAGGCTGAGTGTGTTCAAGAAAGTCTATGTGGCCCCTGTTGAGGCAGCCTTATAAAGTATGTGATACATATTTAATTCCACTCCTAAATTGGGTCAAGAGAGAGAATGTTGTAATATTTGCATCTGTTATAAATCTGTTGTTTTTTCTCATACGTGAACCATATTTTAAGACTTGTGTTTCTACATTGTGAGTAGTCATAAAACTGGATACATTGCAATCATATGTTAATTTAAATTATTTTATTTTATGTGTATGGGTGATTTGCTTGTACATGTGTATGTGTACCATGTGAGTGCTCGGTGCCCACAGAGACCAGAAGAGGGTGTCAGATCCTCTGGAGCTGGAGTTGCAGGTGGTGGTGAGCACCATGTGGGTGCTGGGAACTGAGCTGAGGTCCTCTGCAAGAGCAGCAGGTGTTCCTGACTGCTGTGTCAGCTCTGCAGCCCTGCTCATTAATTCTCATTGCACTTTTCCTGACTCAGAGCACACAGCAGACTGCAACCCTCAGGTTTTTATTCTCACCTTTACCTTTCTGTTGTTATGAAAATGAGAGTCAGTGGTTCAAATACATGGTTTTCTTGTATGTCTTCCTAAGTGTGTGTATTGGAAGAGCTGTGACAGTTACATGAATTGGTCAATGACAGTGAAGCTCTTTGAGGTGTTCAGTGTAGGGAGAAACCAGCAGTGTCCCCAGGATTCCAGGTCCCTTTTATAGGATCTTAGTCTTGCAGATAAAAGAATTTAAGTGGAGCTGGCGTACTGATGCTGCAGGTAAAAACAGTTGCTGTGCAAGCCTGGCAACCTGAGTTCCCCGAACCCACATAAGATTGTGGAAGAGAGCCAACGAAGTTGTCCTTTGACCTTCTCATGCATACCCTCATGTGCACTAATTAAATATCACCAGAATTAAACAGACTCAGAGAAATACTCAGTACAGTTTTATTGGCAGTTGAGAATAGAAACCACAGAGGAGGAAAATTGGAGATCTCAGTAGGTATGGGGGAAGAGGGAAAAGAGAAACAGTTAGCTTTTTGAGTTAGAGGTTGGGAAATTATAGGATTGGTGGGCTGCTACCAGCTGCAGATGGATGAGGGGTAGAGGCGGGATCAGAGAGAGTCAGATTGCCTGCAGGGTCAGGGCAAGCAGGGTTGGGATTCTGGCCAGTGCCTAAAAAGGGAAATAAAGGGGAAAGAAGAATACTTCCTAAGTTAGAACTCAGAACAGCAGCAGGCTTAGCAGGGAGTCAGCCGGCAACCACATTGGTGTGTGTGTGTGTGTGTGTGTGTGCGTGCGTGCGTGTGTGTGTGTGTGTGTGTGTGTGTGTGTGTGTGAGCATGTGAGTGTGTGTGAGTGTGTGTGAACATGTGTGTGTGTGTGTGAGCATGTATGTGAGCAGTGGGCTTCTGGGGTATACACGTGATTCTCTCATTAAGGAGGTAGTTCTCTCATCGTGCCAGTGTGACCTCAGGTGTATTGTGATTATTCTCATCGGCCTCTAAACTGTCCTCTTGAGGTTAAAGGAAAAACTCCTATGGTCTACCTCAGAAGTATCCATCACTGGTTAAACCCCTTGTGAAGGAGGTTCCTGACTCTTGACCATGGTATTTGTGTCAGGTCATGTCATTGTGTTTATACTCAGGTATCTCAAAGGGTCTTCAGATGTGCAAGACAGCCATTCTTGTGTAAAGGCAATTTTATGATAGGAAGTTGACATAGTGCACCATGTCCCAGATGATGCCTGTGAAGCAACTGGCTGCAAATGACCCCTGTCCCAGCACAGCCTGCTCGCCCATAACTAAGGTTATTCTGTGGAGTATCTTGATCCTGGAAAAGAAGGTCATTCCTATCCTCTGGTCCCTCCATTCCAGCTGTTCTTAAGATTTAGCTCAGGTTGAGAAGCCTGTCACTGATTACCTACTCAAGAGGCAGCTGACATGATGGTTATAAGGGCATCTTCTCTGGACAGCTGCCTGGATTCAGGTGTGCACTTGCTTTCATGCCAGCCTTGTGATGTTGAACAGCTTACTTTATCTATCGTGGAAACACATATCTGCTTGGCTTGTAGGTTTTCACATGGTAATGTGTGCTTCCAAAATGGTGCTTAACTTGTCATGAGTGTAAGACCCTCAGAATGAGGAGTCTTTCAGGTTCAGTCGGTACCCCAAGAACTCAATGTCCAGTCCAGTTGCTGCAAAACGCAAGAGGCTTTAATGAACAGGAAACGTTTGCGCAAACCGGCTCCTCCAGCACGCAGGCTAGAGAGAAGCCCCCTCCCCTGGGCCCATGTGTTTTTAAAGGCAAACCCACAAGCTTAGGGAGGGGGTGGGACCCTCTGTCCATTGAGTAGTGACCCTTGGAGGCCGGATGGTCTGCTATTAGGGTCAGCAGGCCTTAGGGCCTCAGGTGTGCTAATTAATCTTGTCTGGGCAAACCAGAGTTACAGCTATCTCTTGACCCTATTTACCACCTGTTGACTCACAGGAAAGGAGGGACAGTGTGAATTCTTCTTATCTCAGGGCCTTGTGAGAGGAAGCTAGCAAATTCCAAGGAACAGATATTGGTTAGCTTTCCAGGTCAGACCGTCCTTTATTTAACTTTACTTTTTGGTCTTTCAATGAGTGTTTGCTATGATTCCAAGACAGGTGCCTGTTCATTTTGGTATCTTTGAAATGACACTATCTGACAGTGATGTCTTCCAATTTTAGTCAGTCAGGTGACCATTCCACCAGATGACGCATACTCGAAGTCTGTGCCAGGCTGGTTATAATGTTCTCCATGTCATCATTTCAGAGGTGTTAACATGTTGTTTGCTGGATTTAATTGCCATTCAAGATGAAAAGATGATCTCAGTGTGGTTTAGTATTGAAATACAAACCTGTTAAATTAAAGTGAAAACTTCCAAAAAGAAACCAAAGTAGAGAAATAAATTTGGAATTTTCAAAATAAACATTTGCCGATCATTGGTGAAATCGTCATAATTTTACTAACATTTCTTTTTCTTTTGTGTGTGTGTGTGTGCCTTTTGTTTGTTTGTTTTGTTTTTAGAGACAAGATTTCTCTGTGTAGTCCTGGGACTTGCTCTTTAGACCAGGCTGGCCGCAAACTTATAAATCCCAACATTTCTTTAAAAATAATAACCAAGTGCTTTGAGAGAGCTAAGAGGGAAAGATACTCAAAACAGATGAAGGCTAGCTATGTTGGTCAGGAGGATCTCTCTGAGTTCAAGGCTACATAGTTTCAAACAAAACAAAACAAAAAATCAGTTGGTAAAGCTTTGTTTTGTACTAAGCTATATAAACAGAAATTGCCATAGAAAATGCCCAATAATGTTCTGAAGGCAGAAAGAATTGTCAACTTTACTGAATAGATTGGGGCGGGGGGGGGGGATCAAAGAAACCGGAGGCTCAAAGAATTAGGTCACAATCAAAGCACTTTTTTTCTTTCATTAAGAATTTGCCAATGTATTTTAGCATCTTTTGCCTCAAATTTTGTTTAAAGGAGGAATGAATGGGAAAATGAATAGCTTAATTTCCAATCCTGGCAGCTCCTGTGTCCTCATTACTTACTGTGTGATCCTTTTACATTAGTTAATAAATAAATAATGGCTATGAACTATGAACTTTGAAGTGGTAGTTTAAAAAAATTATTTTGTTGCTATTTTATGTGAATAAATGTTTTGCCTGCATGTGTGTCTGTATACCATGCACATATCTAGAGTCTGTAGAGGCCAGAAGAGTGCATCAGATCCCTAGAACTGGCGTTAGAGACAGTCCTTAGCCACCATGGGCATTCTGGGAATCAAACCCAGGGTTTCTGGAGGAGTAGCCAGCGCTCTTTACCACAATGCCATCTCTCTAGACGATGAACAAAAAAAAAAAAAAAAAAAAAAGAGTTTTTTTTTTTTTTTTTTTTTTTAGAAAATTGAGCAATTTGGTGAATCACAGATATCCAAAATATACTTGAAATATTAATGATTTTCAGATAGTATGGGAAGCTGAGATGCCCTAATTCAAAGGAAAACATAATTCATCCATGTATATCAGGGAAGGAGTTGATGCTTCCCCTAATAATTGTGATGTTATTGTTTTCTAAGATTTGTACATGGTCTTGTAAGAATTATCTTAGAGTAGGCATCAGCTGGAGGCTAGAAGGTGAGGTGTAGGAGAAATAAGGATTGGTCCTCATTTCTCCTGTTTGTCTGAGATTACATAGCTGTGTCTTGATTGTGCTGCATTTCAAATTACTGTAACCATGAATCCTTACTATTTTGTTTTAAGATACAAGGTGATGTGTTACTTTGAAAACAGTTGAGTGTTTTTAGTAGTCAGTTTAGTTTTTTGAGGGCAGGGGTGGGTGTATGTTCCAAGATTAAAGTTCCTTCATGTGCTTTGTGAGATTCCTTCTAAGTTCTTTGCCAGAGCAGTCTTTCTAGAGCAGTGTCTGACCATGGCAACCCCACCTGTCAGTAACTTTCCTTTGTCTCCAGGATGGAGAGTGAATGGTTGCAGATGTGTCGTGCTCTGGCTGTTTTACGTGGCCTCAACCCTCCTCATATTCTCTTGTTCATGTTACTCCCAGGGCTCCAGGAAGATGCAGTTACCTGATTTGGTGGCATGGTCTTTAGCTCATGTTCCT